CATTCTTTTGAGCACTGCAGACCACACTCTGCTCTCACCTTTGACTTGTGTGGGTGTGTCTGATGTTTACAGTCACTCTACAGTTGACTTCTGCAGGGTGACTGAAAAGCCTGTTTTGAGTAATGGGTTCACTGTAGTCTTCGGGTTCTCTTATTCCTCAGGAAATGGCCTTACCGGAATTTTGAAGTATACTGAGCATTTATGTTTCTTTTGTAACCTGTTTAAAAATAGGATTAAAGAGCATTACTTATTAGACTGAAAAACTAAGAGGAACTGTTCCTTTCTTCTTCTTAACCAGGTATGGGGAATTATTGATCTGAGAAAAAATGGGACTCTTTCTAAAAAGTAGTACACACATAGAAAGTCAATGAACTGTTTTCGTTCTGTGATAAACATTCCATGATGGTTACCAGGCGAGGGAAGGAAGGGGCATTAATTATTCATTGGGTAGGGTATACACCTGTGCTAATGAAGGTGCCAGAGAAGGCAGCTAAAATGAAAGAGATGGAAGAAAGAAGGAAAATAAAAAGGAAATTGCTTCTTTCATTTTGTCTGTTTTTCTTTCTTTCATGTACTAGAAGGGAAGCAATGTATACTTCTTTTCTCATTAGGACAAATCACTGAGAACTTTCCTGAAAATGGAAAAAAGGGGAATTAAAAAGAAAAGAAAGAAAATAGAGAAAAAAATAAGATTTGGAAATGGATAGTCGTCATGGTGTTGCAACATGGGAAATGTGGTGGGTTTGGCTGTGTTGCACATGCAACAGTGGCTGAAATGCCAAATGTTTTGGTATATAAATATTGTTATGATAAAAAATTAAAAGTACAAAAATATACACACAGATGTACAGACACTGCATCCATGTGAAATTCTTTGTACACTTTCAGGAGGTCAGTATCAGTACAGGCTACAGTGTTCTTACTGTTGTTAGGTGCCATCAAGTTGGTTCCAACTTGTAGTGACCCTATATACAACAGAACAAAACACTGCCCAGTCCTGCACCATCCTCCCAAAACTTGCTGTGTTTCAGGCCATTGTTGTAACCATTGTGCCAGTCTATCTCAGTGATGGTCTTCCGCTTTTTTTTTTTTTTTCCTGACCCTCTACTTTAGCAAGCATGATGTCCTTCTCCAGAGACTGATCCTTCTTGATAGCATGTCCAAAGTATGTAAGAAGAGGTCTTACCATCCTCACTTCTGCACATCTAAGACAGACTTTCCGTTTTTCTTTCAGCCCATGGTATGTTTAATATTCTTGGCCTACATCATAAGTCTAATGCATCCATTCTTAGCTTTTCCTTGTTCATTGTTCAGCTTTCTCATGCATATGAGGCTATTGAAAATACCATGGCTTGAATCCAGGTGCACTTTAGTCTTCCAAGTGACATCTGTGCTTTTTAACACTCTGAAGAGATCTTTTGCAGCAGATTTGCCCTATGCAATATGCCATCTGATTTCTTGACATTGATTTTGGATCCAAGTAAAATGAATTCCTTGAATCTTCAGTCTTTTCTCCATTTATCATGATGTTGTTTATTGGGACATTTGTGAAGATTTTTGTTTTCTTTATGGTGAGATGTAATCCTATACTGAAGGTTGGAGTCTTTGATCTTCAATAGTAAACGTTTCAAGTTGTCATTGCTTCAACAAGCAACGCATATCATCTGAAAGTCGCATGTTGTTAATGAATCTTCCTCCAATTTAGACACTGCATTCTTCTTCATGTAGTGCAGCTTCTCAGATTATTTGTTCAGCATATAGATTGAATAAGTAAAGTGAAAGGATGCAACCCTGATCTGCCCTTTTCCTAATTGTATTCCCTTGTTCTGTTTGAATGACTACTTCTTAGTTTGAGCACAATTAAGTGTTGTGCAGTTTCATTCTTGGCAGTGCTATCCACAGCTTATTATGATCCACACAGTTGAATGCCTTCTCATAGTAAGTGAAATACAGGTAACCATTTTTCTGATATTTTCTGCTTTCAACCAATATCCATGTAACATCAACAATGATATCCCCCATTCCACATCTACTTCTTAATCTGGTTTGAATTTCTGACAGTTTCTTGTTGATGTACTGCTGCAACCGTTTTGGAATTTTCTTCAGAAAATGTTGTGTGCATGTAATATTAATGATAAAGTTGGATAATTTCTGCATGCTGTTACATTACCTTTTTCTTAAATGAACAGAAATACAGATCTCTTCTAGTTGGTTGGCTAGGTAACTGTCTTCCCAATTTCTTGGCATAGATGATAGAGTACTTCTTCTAGTGTTTCATCCATTTTTTGGAAGATCTCACTTGGTGTCTCATTAATTTCTGGAGCATTGTTTTTCATTAAAACACCTTGACTTTCTTCCCTCCATCATGTCAGTTCTTGGTCATTTGCTATTTCCTGAAATCGTTGAATGCCAACCAATTCTTTTTGGTACATTGATTCTGTGTATCCTTTCTTTGTTCTTTAATGTTTCCTGCATTGTTCAATATTTTTCCCATAAAATACTTCAGTATTGCAACTCAAGGCTTAGATATTTTCTTGATTTTAGTCAGTTTGAGAAATACTGAGCATGTTCTTTTTTTGTTGTTTTCTAACTCCTACTATGCACATTTTGTTGTAATACTTTACTTTCTCTTTTCAGGATGCCCCTTGAAATCTGTCCAGTTCTTTTACTTCATCATTTTTCAATTTGCTTTCTTCATGTATGATGTCTTTGATGTTATCCCACAACTTGTCTGTTCTTCAGTTATTAGTGTCCAGTGGTTTCTAAATCCAAGTAGGTTGTACTCAGATCTTACTTTAGTTCTTTAAAAATGTTTTCTTCATCTTCAGTTTTGCCTTGCATATGAGCAGTTGGTGGTCTGTTCCTTAGTTAGCCCCTGTCCTCATCCTGACTGATGATACTGAGCTCTTCTCCAGTATCTTCTTCCACAGATATAGTTAATTTGATTGCTGTGCATTGCATTTCATCTGACAGTGTCCACATATATATCTCCTATTTATGTTGCTGGAAAAAAAAAAAGTATTTCTAATGAATAGGTCATTAATCTTGCAAATTTCTGTCATATTATCTGGCATTGTTTCTGTCATCAAGGCCATACTTTACAATTACTGATGCTTCTTTGTTTCCAGCTTTTGAATTTCCAATTACCAGTAATTATCAAATGCATCTTGGTTGCATGTTTGATCAATTTCAATCTGAAGAAGTTGGTAAAAAGACGAGACAGCCTAAGTGCCTATCAACAGAAAAAGGGATAAACAAACTTTGTTGCATACACACAATGGAATATTATGCTACCTTGAAGAATAACAAATAAGCTGCAAGCCACGGGGTAGTAGGGATGAACATTGAGGACATTACGCTGAGTGAAATTAGTCAGTCACAAAAGTACAAATATTCCATAAGACCATTATTGTAAATGCTTAAGAAAAGATAACCATACTAAAATGGGGGGGTATGTGTGGAATTCTTTGTTGGTTATTGGTGGAGCTGGAGTGGGAGAGTTTGGGGAGGTCGAAGAAGGCAATGGTAGAACACAGGGTAGGGGCAGACACATCATAGTTTGGGTGTTAGGGAGGACAGTACGCAAGAAGTGGGAGAGGGTGGAAGAAAAAGGTAGATCGGGGAACACTGAGACAGGTTTGCGTGGGTTAAATAGGGCAGAGGTAAATAGTGATGCATGCTCAACCTTGGAACAATAGGGCTCTGTGATACAGGGATCAAGGCATAGTTTGAAGTGAGGAAATAATACTAAGAGCTTGACTGTCTTATGTATATTGGTTTCCCTTTCCTACTATTGTAAAATTGAAACTTGAGTTGGTTGGAAAGGAATGTTGGAAAACATGATTACAGAAAGCTTGTAAGCTCGTCTTACACCTATAACTGATTGGAATATCTTAAAGGGGTTCTAGAACTTGCCCAATGAAATAAGCCTCTTATGGAGCCTTTGCACTGTATAGGACCTTAGATGGAATCGTGAGCCCTATCCAGAACCTTCTGAGGTGGGACATTCCCACTAGAAAGGACAAGCCTGGAACAGCTAGAGTGACAGAAGATACATCCTCAAAGAAAGATCGTCAGGAAAAACCCAAAACAAAATGGCAGTATGACTGGCTACTTCAAGAATAAGCAAGGTGTTCTCTGGGAAGCCATCAAGGCAAGCAATCAAGTTCCTTCAGGACAAACTCCCCTCTAAGACTGAAACTCAAAAGGGAACACATGAGCAGTCAGGTAAGCTTGCTGGTGTCCATGTTGGTCTACTGGTGAGTGGAAGAGGGGGAAAGGCAGCAATGAAGAAATGGGCTGAGTTCAGCCACGTTCCACAGACTTCCGTGGACTTGGATATGAGAGAGAGAAGAGGAAGGGGGACACTTGAGCCAATGGACAAGGACATAGCCTCAGAGGTCTAGAGCTGAGAGTGAAGCATCCAGCTGATATGAAACGAGGGGACATGCACAAGAACAACCAAGGTTGCATACAGTACCCTTTTGACCTAGCCTCAATGGCTTGATAATCAGAACCCAACTAGAGGAAGAAGAAGAAAAAAAAGAACAAAACAAATTCTGATAAAGGAAATGAGGGTAAATTGCTATAATTTGAAGAACTTGACCTATACTCATGGAGGTAGTAACTCTAAATGCCAACAGAGAGGGAAGGAGTCTTCACATCATGTATTAATGCTATCCCCTCTGTACACAGGGTAGATAAGGATGGGCAACTACCTAAAATGAGGGAGCAATAAAGGCACTACCTAAATGAGGGAGCAATAAAGGCAATGACTGGCTTACAACGTTTCAAGGGGGAGCTCCGCTTAATAGTGTGTGAGGAAAGAAAGAGTCCCCAATGAATAGTTTCCATCTTGTCTAGATGGGTCTGGTTAAAAGAGATGGCAATAAGATTCTTATGATTCAGTAATGAGTAATTGTTATCATGACTAATTGTGACTGTCACAATTGTAAAGGTAGACGTTTTGAAATGAAAATAGGGGAGTGGTTAATCTTACAGTCTAGAAACAAAGGACCCTAGGACTATCAAGGGAAAAGAGCACAAGTGGAGAAGAATCAGTACCAGAGATGGAGGCAGAGATGGAGAGGGAGCAGCTGAGGACTCTAGATTCATGGGAAGAGAGGGACTAAGAGATAGCAGCCAGGAGGCAGACTTGCAGAATGTGCCCTTTAGTGGTGTAAATTATTATATATGCCTAAGTGTTTTTTTTTAACAAAGCTAAAGTGAATAGAGAGAAACACTGTTAACTGATGGTACATGGAGGGGGTTATAATCATTGTAATGAAACAAGGTATATGATTTGATTTGTTGAATGTAAAACTGATGATCTGCCCTGTAAACTTTTACTCAATCCACAATAAAAATCTTTTAAATAGAAAAAATAAAAAATAAAAAGCCCCCCCCAAAACTGTCATTGATTTCTCTACTCCTGCAGTTATTGCTTGTCTCCTTCTGCAAAGATAAAACTTCAAGGAGTGGCTCCTATATTTCTTGAGTTGAAGACAAAGAATTGGGGGGAGCTGTTTAACATAGGTCTTATAATAATGCATTTTTCCAAACTTTAAAAAATTTAGCACTACTATATTCTTTTTCCAGTGTTTCCTAAAAGATATTATGCACCAAGAAGGTGGAAGACAAATTTTCAAAATAAGGGAACTCTTTTAAACTGAAGACATTTTGTTTGGCAAAGAATTCTATGGCTCTACTGTTTATTAGGATTTCAACCGAGGACTAGGGAAAACATTTGTTATTACTTTGAGGACGCATTGATTTAATTTCTCAAGAATTTGATAATATTCCCAGTTCCAATTCATTTCTAGCTCTGCATTTTTAAATACATTTTATCACTGATTTTTGTGCAGTTAATTGTTAGTGCGGTTGAGTCGATTCCTACCCCTAGCAACCTTGTATAAGGTTTCTGAGTTGCAGCTGGTGAGCTTGAACTGCCAACCTTGTGGTTGAAACTGACCTTGCAGCCCAGCACATTAACCCACATTGCCACACTAGGACTCCAGTTCATTGACAATGATTATACACTTAACACTGTATCACCATTGTCTCTGTCCATGTTGTTTCTCAACCATTAACTTGGACTCCGCTAATCTGTATTTTACAGTTGTCCATCTAACCTCATATAGATCAGTTTTTAGAGAGTGCAATGCTCCAGGTCCATATTCTTCATTAAATAAGGTAACTTGTTTTGTTTAATGGTGACTTTCTGAAATAGTTTCTGTCCAAGGCTTAAAAGTTATTTGTAGGCAATAAATTTGGGGGTTGTTCCTCCAGTCTCAGTGGATCTCAGAAGTCTGTTTTTCAAATCTCTCTGTTCTTAAAAACATTCTTACTGGCTTTTATACTGGAAAGCGACTGGTTAGATAAATCTTCATTTAGTATCTTAATTAAAAAGTGTATCAATATGAACATAATCAGAAATATTTTACCTATTTTGGATTTTTTTCTTTTACTAGTGGTATTTAAAAATTCTGTCTTTCTTGTTGTTTTTTTAAAAAAGATAAAATCTTTTATACATACAAAAAATACAACAAATAACAATAAAAAATTTGGGTAGTGGGTGATATTGTTCAGTTTTAACTTATTTTCCATTTGTTTTTCTTAAGAAATAATCCTTATTCTTTCAGTACTGCTTTTAACTATCAAAATACCATATGCTCCAGAAATTTTGAAAATAATTTATGAAGAAAGAAATTAAAATTGCTCTTAGCATTACCATCCAGAAATAACAAGCTTTATATTTTGATGCTTTGGGTTTAAGTGCATTAATTAAGATTGACCATCTTCATGTTTTCATCTTTTCGTGTAGACAGTCAAATTCTCCACCCCCCATCAGACGCCAACCCACCTGGAGCCGGTCCTCCTTGGTATGTATCTTATCTTTAATAGTTCAGTAGGATGACCATTGAAAATGCATACAGTGCTCTTTGGTGGTTAATTTGTGGGAAGAGGTGATGAATTCTGTGAGAACACAGAAGGATGTCAGTCTGATGAGCAAGTGTGATGCATCTCCATGCTGTCCCCCATGCTTTTTTAAGTGTAGTTCAAGGCTTATTTGAGTAACTGGTCCATCTTATTGCAGCTTACAAGATTACCTATTGCTCATCTGTTCGTTTATAGCTGATTTTGGTTGTACACACAGATACTCCTTCAGTTACAGGCTACACAAATTCTTTTTGTTTCATTGTCATAACCTGTTCAATTGCTGTCACATTGACTCCAACTCCGGGTGACCCCATGTGTGTCTAGTGCAACTGTGATTTTAGGGGTTTCAATGGCATTTTTGTCTGTTCTAAGTAGATCTTGCCATTTATCTTAGGCACCTCTGGGTGAACTTGAACCTCTAACCTTTCACTTAGTAGCCAAGTGTGTTAAGCATTACCGTAAATTGATACATTTTGTTGTGTCGGTTCCGACTCATAGGGTTTCAAGGTTTTGTATAGGGTTTCAGAGGCTTTAAAATCTTTGCGGGAGCAGAAGGCCTCATTAGTGGCGAGTGGGTTTGAACCTTGAACCTTGTGGTTTGCAATCCATTGATGGCTTGTTGTATTACCATATTTATTTCCATAAATAGAGATGAATAAAGTAGCAAGAAAATTTCTTTAAAAAAAGCAACGAATTGATTGAGTCATGGTAGACTAGTGGGGAAGATTAATTGCACATTTCTAATTTTAAGGCTTCAATTAGTCAACAAAATTTGAATTGATCCAAATTCTCCTTAATATTGGGTATTTTGTTTGTTTGCTCACTGCTCACCTCATCACATGGACACAGTTCTGTTTCCAATACATACATTCTGTCTTAGGCTACATATTCTTTTTTAGGATTATTCAAGGATAATGTAAAAGAAGATACTGGATAGTTTGTTTCCGTTGAAGTGCTCTGCTTGTTTTAATTCACAGACACTTAACAACCTAACAACAAAAACGTTATCCATTAGTTATAATTTTTTTTTTAAGAAAATAAAAAACATGTTAGCTTATTTATTTTTCCAGGTGAACAGTTCCTTCAGGTTCACTGGAAAATAACATGGTATTTTTCTTCATAAGCCATGTATATATACACTATAGTAGATCTTTGACTTATCTTTTCAGAGGACAGTTTTGAGGGAATACATTTTTCTGGATATGATCTCTTATAAGTTTAGAGTGAGCCATGTGGCATCATAATTCCTGAGTCTCCACATGCATATTTTAATTTCCACATTACGTACCATCTGTCACGTGTAGTCCTTGGCCTTGGAAATCTAGAAAATGGCTTTGGGCTTTTCCCCTGGAGTGCCAGCAGACTTGTTCATGACCCTGTTTTTTTTCGGGTTTTGTTTTTATTCTCATTAGTGAATTCTTTCCCTTCTTTAAAATCAAAATCCTTTATTTGTGAGAGACCTTATCATTCATTTTCCATGAAACACCATGGGAGACAATGTGGTTTAAGTTGATCTTGTCATCTGATCTCTTGTCAAAATGATCTAGAGAAGATGCAGACGGTTTCCTATTTTATTTGGATGAAGACAGTGTACAGGAAGTTGGATTCATGGCTTCTTCCACTTTACCTTCTATCCCTTTTAAACAGTCTCACCAAGAGTTCCTTGGGCTGAGGGAGAGCAAGAACAGATAACATTGTATCACCGTTTTGCTTCCTCCATGATAACCAGGACTTACCCAGCTACAAGTTTTCTCTTGCCATTTTGCTGCTTATATTATGCCTGTTTCATTTGTTTCTGAATTAGCAGATCTAGAAAGAAATGGAATATATGATTCTAAAATGGTGTTTGGAGGATTGCCCTTTGCCTGTGTACTTGTGTCATTTCACATATAGTCACTTACTGGATTTTCTTGTGTTTTTTTTTGTTGTTGTTGTTTTTTCATGCGAGCAAAGAGAAGGCAGCAAGCCAGCTTTGCCTTACCATGTGATTCTATCTCCCCTTATACAAATCCCACCCCCTAATATAAAAACACTGCCTCAAACCTGCTATCCTTCTGTGGAAAAGTTGAGTTACTTTTTCCATGAGGGAAAGTATTTATAAATTGCAGCTCAGAAATCAGCCAAAGGGATATTTGGGACTATTTAGGAGAACTGACGTAGAACCTTTTCTTTGGTTTTCTGTTTTGTTAGATTAATTTTAATTCTTTATTTCTTCTCCCTTGATGATGATTAATATTTGGATCCTTCCTTTGTCTCCATTACCTTCTCTCTTTATCCGTTTGATGTTCAGGTACTTTATTTGTAGCAAAGGAAGTAGATTTTCATATGTGCTCTTAAGGTGATTCCTATTTCTAGTAATCCCATGTGAGCGGGCTGTCCCACAGGGTTTCCTGGGCCATGATGTTTGAAGAACAGAGTGCCAGATCTTTTGTCGTACCAGAGCAACTAGTTAACAGACAAGTCCATAGCCATTGTACCACTAGGACTCAGAGGAAGTGGGCCTGGCTTATTCTGTTGAGAGGCACTGAGAAAGTGTGACTGACCCTTGCAGTCTTTGGGGTTCTTGGCTTCCTCTTATTTTCTTATCTCCTAAAGCAATAGCATTTGGGATAATATTGAAAAGGCTAATTTTGAAGTCCTGGTGCACCCCTAAGGAATAAACATTGGACTGCTAACTTTAGGGTTCTGTGAGTTAAGCAGTGGGCTGCTAACCACAAGGTTAGTGGTCCAAACCCACTAGCTCCTCCATGGGAGAAAGATGAGGGTTTCTGCTCCCACAAAGAATTGCTATCTCAGAAATCCTAAGGGAACAGTACTGTGTTAGTGGTGGTGGTAAGCACAAATGAGTTGCTACCAACTCACAGCAATCCTGTATAGGATTTACGAGGATCATCTGGTGGGTTTGAACCTTGTGGTTAGCAGTCCAGTGCTTATCATACACCTTCTATATAGCATTGTTGTGAGTTGGAATCACCTTGACAGCAATGGTTTTAGTGGGTAAGTGTTGTGGTTGCTTTCTCTCTAGAAGTTATTGGGACTTTCTTCTGTAGCATCAGCTGACTGACAAACTACACACCTGTTGTTGTGGGTCCCATTTTAGACATTTATGTAAGTGTGTCATTGAGCTGCCATACCACTAGCCCTGTGCCTCTAGAATTGAATATTGAATAGAATGTGGCAGTTTTCCCCCTTATTCTCTTAGTATTTCTTAGGGGAGACATCCTAATGTACCTGTTCTGAGTTGGTCCTTTAAAGAATGCATAAAGAGCATTGCAAGTATCTTAGAAAAATAGATACTAAATACAGTTGTTGTTGTTAAAGGGCCATCGAGTTGGTTTCGACTCATACAACGCTGTACTAAAACTTACAAACCCTGGAACCTCTGTAAGATGGAATGAAACTTACAGAGTCGTGAAACTCGAATCATTTCCACTAATAGGAGAGTGAGAGAAAAGTAGGAAGACTGTACCCTATCAAAGGTGGAAAACTTGAGAAACCTAGAAAAATATGGCAGTCTTGTTGAGTTTTGACTCAGGTTTCACTGGGACTGTGTTCAACTTATTGATTGTGGCCCCTTTCTAACCTTGAGCCACCTTCTTTATTTCTTCCCTCGTTTCTCCTGTCTCAAACGTGGTGATGAGATGGGGGACGCAGATGGGAAGAGTGCTGAGAGGGTTGATAGCTGCACATGGGGGTGTTTCCCTGTGCAGACCTGGGTGATTGGGGGGCCGTTGTATGCTTGGACTGGCTCTTCCTAGGGTTTTTCCCATTTCTCTGTATTCTGTGTTTCAGCCCAGGCAGCAGCCGTACATATTACCGCCTATGCACGTCCAGTGTGGGGAGCACTACTTGGAAACTCACACTTCACAAGGTAAGGTTGCCTTTCCCATTTCCCTTCTCATGACAAAAAGTTGAGTGTCAGTTAGTGATGAAGCAGAATTTTTTGACGAGACAACGGTGGTACCTTCATTATTATTTGGTCATTTATGAAAGGTATAGGATACCGTTTGCCCGTGAGAGAACAGCGTCCCTGGATTGGACGAGGCTGTGAGCGAGGTTTCATTCTTCTTCCCTTTCATAAGTGGGCTTACAGAAGAGAGAGTGACAGCAAAGCAAAGCTAAACACATTCATCCTCTGTGCCAGTATCAGAAGCTGGTGAAGCTCAGTCCAGTCTTTATGGTAGCAGAGAACGCAGGCATCTAGAGTAATCTGAGGAAATAATTTCAACCCATCATTTCAGCTGTTGCTTTCCATCTCTCCCACCAGCTCTTCTCAGTAGACTTGTTTCCCTAGAGTAAAGGAGACTTTTTTGATTCCTAACACTTTTTATCCCTAAACACACATAAGCAGAATGTGTGAAAAGATCAATTTCATTAATAATGATAATAATAATACGGATCATTCTGTTAATAGCAGGTGGTATTTCTAGAGAGTTCTGGGCCAGGCTCAGTTCTGAGCATGTGCTCTTACTATCTCATTGAATCCTCAAAATGAACTTAAAGGTAAGTACTGTTACTACTTCCATTGTACAGATAGAGATTGGGATACAGAGAGATTAATGGTGGAGCTGGGGTATATAAAGAGTATTTTTACTCTCCTACCAGCCCTCTTAATCATTACTCTTAACTGCAGTTCAAAAGAAAAAGAAAAAAAATGGTAGAGGGTTTTGGATCTTAACTGTGTTAAACAAACAAGTAGTTTCTGTGTTGTTACCTGCTGGCTACTTTGAATATCTCTGCCTTGTGAAAGTGTTAGCATGGAACCTAGGACCATCAGGGCGCTTTGATTTAATGAAACAGTGCTTCATTTATACAAGGACAACGTTCAGAAGGGTGAGAAAAGAAGGGGGAATGGAAACAAGATACACAGGGAGGAAGTGGGATAGGTGATGTTATGTTGAGGGCCTTGCAATCCATGAGATGAAACAAATTGTACGTGAACAATTTGTTGAATGTGAAACTGATGATCTTCTCCATAAGCCTTTACTCAGTTAGTAAACAGAAGTTAAAAAGCAAAAACAACCCAGTGCTTCTCATAAGCTAGCACAGTTATCCTGCTTCCATAAGAGACACCAGAACCCATTTGAGTGGATAAGAACAACACATCTGCCTTGTTTTTTTTTTTTTTTACCTACATCATCTCATTGGGTTCACACCCACACCCCTCCTCTCCAAGCAAACTGAGGTTTCTAGCCTTGTCCACTGGAAAGGGTTTTGGCAAGAGATTACCTTCCTAGGGGTGTACGCTGATTAAAGGAACACAGCACATCAATTCTGGGCCTGACTTGAGAAATCTGACTTTTGTCTCTTTAGGTATCTCTTAAACTATTACTAATTTTCATTTGAATTGACTTCAGTTATGAAACCTAATCTACAGGAGGGTTTCAGTCAATGGCTAAATGAACTCCTGATTGGTCTATTTTACCCTACATTGGTTGCTGAGCAGGAGCTAGCCATCCTAATATCCTGGCTGTAGTATTTGTGTCTTAAGGGGCTTTTTCCATTGTAACTAGAAGGTCAAGGAAGCAGCTCCAAGTATCCAATAATTTCACATCTGCTGCGCTATGGAATGTTTTGACTCCCTAATCAAATGGCCAATTCATTTACTGAGCTCTGCATAAAAGGGCAGGCCTCCCCACTGGGAGGGGCTCTGGCTGTTGCCTGAATTCAAAGCTCATGGTAAAATTGAGGGCATACCCAGGCGATGCCTATTCCAAGTGTGGATTCCTTTCGTTGTTTTTCAGGTTCGCTTTCTCTTTTTCATGTTTGAAAGTGTTCCTTCCATAGGTTGGCATAATATGTAACCAGTTAGCCATTTTTTAAAGAACAACATGTGAGTGGAAACCATGGGATTCTCCTCAATTATTCCTTTAAATTAGAAGTCATCCCTTGTGAATGTGAGGCTGAACTTGATGGAAGTGTGTTGTCTTGAAGGTTCATGTGCCTTTGTTTCACTTCTTATAGACAGCATTTTCCATGGGAATGAAGAAGCCTTGTATTGCAACTCTCACAACAGCCTGGACTTAAATTACTTAAACGGCACCATTACCAATGGCAGCGTGTGTAGCGTTCACAGCGTGAACTCCCTCAACTGTTCCCAAAGTTTCATCCAGGCGTCTCCTGTGTCCTCCAACCTCAGTATCCCTGGGAGTGACATCATGCGGGCTGACTACATTCCTAGTCACCGGCACAGTGCAATCATCGTCCCGTCTTATAGGCCGACCCCCGATTATGAGACAGTTATGCGGCAGATGAAGAGGGGGATCGTGCACACGGACAGCCAGAGCCAGTCTCTCAGAAACCTCAACATCATCAACACGCATGCCTACAACCAGCCAGAGGACCTGGTGTACAGCCAGCCCGAGATGCGGGAGAGACACCCTTATACTGTCCCTTATGGGCCACAGGGGGGCTACGGTAACAAACTGGTCAGTCCATCTGACCACATGAGCCCAAAGAATCATATGGTGCCCAGCAAGCCGAGGGCCAGTGCCATCTCCCACACAGTGAGCACCCCAGAGCTGGCTAACATGCAGCTTCAAGGCAGTCAGAACTATAATACAGCACATATGCTCAAAAACTATCTCTTCAGGCCTCCACCCCCCTACCCACTGCCCCGTCCAGCCACTAGCACCCCGGATCTTGCCAGCCACCGCCACAAGTACGTCAGTGGCAGTAGCCCAGATCTGGTGACGCGGAAGGTACAGTTGTCCGTAAAGACCTTCCAGGAGGACAGCTCCCCTGTGGTACACCAGTCACTGCAGGAGGTCAGCGAGCCCCTCTCGGCTGCCAAGCACCATGGCACCGTGAACAAGCGCCACAGCCTGGAGGTGATGAACAGCATGGTGCGAGGGATGGAGGCCATGACTCTGAAGTCACTCAACATCCCCATGGCTCGCCGCAACACGCTCCGGGAGCAGGGGCCACCCGAGGAGGCACCAGGGAGCCACGAAGTTAATCAGCTTCCTCCGTATCACCACAAGAAAACGTTCTCTGATGCCACCATGTTGATCCACAGCAGTGAGAGCGAAGAGGAAGAGGAGGCTCCGGACCCGGTGTTGCAGATCCCTGTGCTCCGGGAGAAGATGGAGTACAGTGCCCAGCTGCAAGCAGCCTTGGCTCGCATCCCGAACAAGCCCCCGCCCGAGTACCCTGGCCCGAGGAAAAGTGTTAGCAATGGGGCACTTAGACAAGACCAGGTTAACCTTCCTATCAGCATCGCCAGAGCCAGGGCACTGAGGCAAGGACCGGCCAAGGCCATCAGCGTCTCCCGAGCAGATCAGCTGGCCATCAATGGGGCCTCTCTTGGTCCCTCCATCTCAGAACCTGACCTGACCAGTGTGAAGGAGCGGGTCAAAAAGGAGCCTGTGAAGGAGAGACCTGTGTCTGAAATGTTCTCCCTGGAGGACAGCATTATAGAGCGGGAGATGATGATCCGGGTGAGTGTCTGCCTCTCGAGTTCTGTGTAGCTGCTCTGCCCTGTAGCTTCTTTTGTTTGTCTTTTCCATGATCAAGTTCATAGTGAAAAACACACATACTTAAGGCACTGAAAAAGTCACAGAGCATATTTGGGGATAATGTGGTGTATTAAAAGAATTATTTGACATTGCAGTGGGTAGTCATCTATTTCTCAAAATTTTGTTTCTAGTTCCTTGACAGTATTCTTCCATATCTAGCTTCTGGCGGCTGGACTTGCTACCACTCATCACTCTAATTGAGCTAAGAAGGAGCAGGGTGGTGGTGTTGAAGCCAATAGGCTTGCATCAGTGTTTTGCTGTTTTTTAAGTCATAGCTCAAACTACTGATTATATGGGTTGTTAGGAGTTTACCTTTCTCCATCTCTTAGTGGTTTTGTTTTTTTAAGGGGAAAGCATTTTTTTCCAAGTAGGTTTTGTAGTAGTTTCCTGGGGCTATAACAAAGTCAACTGGGTGGCTTAAAACCACAGAAGTTTATTCAGTCACAGTTCATAGAACTAGACGTCTGAATTCAATGTCAGCAGGGTTGGTTCCTTTGGGAGGCCCTGCGGGGAGAGTCTGTTCCAAGTTTCTTTCCTGGGTCCTGTTGATCGCTGTCAGTCTTTGGTGTTCCTTGCCTTGTAGTTGCATCACTACATTCTCTACTTCCGTCTTCCTTCCTCTGTATGTACGTGTATGTGAGTCTCTAGATCTCACTCTCCTTATAAGGATGCCACCACACATTGGATTTAGAACATACCTTACTCCAGTATGACCTTGTCTTAACTGGTCACATCTGCAAAGACCCTGTTTTCAAACAGATTCCCATACATAGATACTGAGGGTTAAGACTTCAACAGATATTAAAAGAGGATGGTGTTCTGCATAGATCTGTATAGCATCATCATTTGCCAATTTTGTCTGAGCCATGCTGTGTCCAGCTTTACTTTCAGAATTTTTTTTTCCAACAGGAGTTTAATACCAATTCAAGAAAATGATAGTAAGCGAGTGGATTGCATTAAAGATAGTCATTCAGTTACAGTTCCCTACTGAATTTTTTTTCTGTCAAAGCTTCACTCCTGGTGGGATGATTAGGGGAAGAATAGTGATAATGGTGCATGGCATAATGAGTGTAACCCATGTCACTGAGCTGTACACAGCAGTATTCTTCAGTTAGCAAATGTTTTGTTGTGCATATTTTACCACCCCACCCACCAAATTCATCTGTATACACACATGCACACGCACGTAACCCTCATGGTAGACCTTCACAACCTTGCTTTGGAACATATACAGTCCAGAGGGCCACCTGTGTTGTCAGAGTTGTGCAGGTAATAAAGCAGCAAAGTATTTGTGTCTCTTACTAATGAAAATATTGCTGGATTGTAGTTGTGACTTAAAAAAAAATACATATCAGGGCTGCATTGCTGTTTATGCTGAGAGTTTTTGCTCCGTTTCTAAGGAAGTCACTTTATTATAACTAAGCAAGCCCAGATTGACTTGTAATCACCATTTGCCATATCTGAATCATAGCATACTTTCCACCCACTGCCATGGAGTCAATCCCAGCTTATTACAACCCTATAGGCAGGACAGAGGAGAACTGCACCATTGGATTCCCAAGACTGTCAGTCTTTACAGAAACGTACTGCTTCATCTTTCTCCCACAGACCCGCTGGTGGGTTTGAACACCTACATTTCACTTAGTAGCCTGATGCTTAAAGCTACCAAGGCTCCTTCTGTACCAATGTTGTGGTTGTTATTACTGCTCTCAAGTTGGTTCCAACCCATAGCAACCCTGCATAGGGTTTCCGAGAAGCAGCTGGTGAGCTTGAACCGCTGACCTTGCAGTTCAGACACACCAGGACACCTTCTGTGCCATAGGTATATAAAAAAAAAAACCCAAACACGTTGCCACTAGGTTGATTCCAACTCATGAAGATCCTGTGTGTTGCAAGGTACAACTGTGCTCGGTAGGGTTTCATTTAGAGCAGATGCCAGACCTGTTATGTATGACAATACAATGCTGCATTGCTTTGCACCCAAGCAAAAACCAGTTGAACCCACCCCCACCCCCACCCTCCGGGTGTTATATTTTAAGAAATCGAGAGCAGTTGTAACTTACCATTTGCTTGGATGGAGTTTATTAGCTTGTCTTCATTTAGATCTTTCCCTAACCCACCAATGGGAATCCGAAGACAAGTTCCTTGAGGAAAACTTTAAGAACATTCTCAACCTCACAGTTGGGGCCTTGGATAAAGTAGTGCTAAGAATTTGGTGCAGGCGTAACTTTTTCCGCTTACTGCAAACCTGAAGGGAAATTGTAGAAGATAGGCCTGTGCCTCTGGCAAATGGAAGTTTTGGCTGTGGGAAGGAATGAAGTGTGGGGGCAGGCTGCAGCCTCTAGGGGAGAGCTTTCCAGCTTGGAAAAAGTAATTCATTGGTTTAAAAAAAAAAAAAAAGGGGGGTTTTCAGCAGTTCTTAGACCCAGTTTCTTGAGAGCAGCCTCCCATCAAACACTTGAGAGTTTAATCATTAAACTTAGAGATTCTCCCTGCTTACCAACATGTGCTGTTTGTTGATGCCAGCACAGCCCTATCACACCCTTCCAAGTCCTGTTTATCTTATCGTCTCTCTTTTATTTGTCCCCAAATATCTGCAAGTTATTTGAAAAAAAAAAAAAAAAACTATAGTGGAACAGTAAATAATGACTGAGTAATTGCACATACTTTTTGTAAGATCCTGTCTTTTTGTTACTCATATTAAATGGGAGACTGTAGCCAAAAACCACAAACCTGACTCCTTTCATACAGTGTTTTACATTATCATAGTTTTTCACTATTTTTTTTTTTTTTATCCTATATGCTTCCTGCTCATATGGATAATGAATGCCGTTGTTGTTAACGAGTTGATTCTGAATCTGGGTACAGAGTAGGCCCAGTCCATCGAGTTTTCAAGGCTGGGACCTTTCTGAAGCACACCACCTTACTTGTCGTTCATGGTGCCTCTGGGTGGGTTCAAATTGCTATCCTCTTGTCTAGTAGTCAAGCTTGTTGCTGTTTGTCCCAACCAGGAGGTCATGTGGATAATAGATGATAATAGTGACTGTTCCCCGTAGAGTCCTGGTGTGGCACTGTGGATTAATGCACCAGACTGCAAAGCCGTTTGAACTGCAAAGTCGGTGGTTCAAGCTCACCAGCTGCTCCTTGGCAACCCTATACAGCATCACTATGTGTCAGAATTGACTCGATGGCACTTAACAACAACAATATTCCCCGTGGTTAGGAACAGTTGCCACATCCCTTCGTTTTCAGCATGACATCACTTTATCCTCTAAGGTCTGTCTGCTCTCCTGGCATCAGAACCTTGGAATTGGATTAGACGTTTTCTTAGAGAGCCAAGATACCAGGGTGAGAGTGAAAGATGATTCTCTCTTTTTTTTTAAACACATAGAGCTCTTTATTGATTACTTTTTACTTTTTTTTTTCCCCAATTGAGTTGTTCGGTGGTGCAAACACTTCAGTGTTGACTACTGACCAAAATGTTGGTTTGTGTGAATCTACCCAGTATCTCTGGTAGTGTAGTGGTTATAAACCAGGCTGCTAACCTCAAGGTTGGCTGTTCGAAACCACCAGCTGGTCCACAGGAGAAAGATGAGGCTTTCTGCTCCCGTAAAGATTTACAGCCTTGGAAACCCTGTGCAGGGTCACTATGAGTCGGAACCAACTCCACGGTACTTAACAACAACAACCCAGTAGCACCATGGAATAAAGGGTTCGAGAACTACTTCTGTAAAGATTACAGCCAAGAAAACCTCATACTTCGGTGTTATTCTTGAACTTGTGGGGTCATCATGAGTCAGAACCAGTTCAATGACTTTTTATTTGTTTGCTTTTAAACATATTATTGTTGTTAGGTGCTATTCAGTTGGTTCAAACTCATAGCTGCCTAATGTACAACAGGACAAAACACTGCCCAGTCCTGCACCTAACTAACATTCATTGTTACGCTTGAGCCCATAACTGCTGCCACTGTGCCAATTTATCTCTTTTTTGCTGACCTTACCAAATATGTCCATCTTATCAAGTCATATGCCCTTCTTTAGGGACTGGTCCCTCCTGGTAATGTATCTGAAATATGACAAAGTCTCACCATCTTGGTTTCTAACACAGATTTATTTGTTCATCTGGCAGTCCGTATTATTTTTAAGATACTTCTCCAACACTAAAACTCACATATATCAATCCTTCTGGTAGCGTAGTGGTTACGAATCGGGCTGCGAACCTTAAGGTCAGCGGTTCGAAACTACCAGCTGCTCCGCGGGAGAAAGATGAGGCTTTCTACTCCCGTAAAGATTTACACCCTTGGAAACCCTGTACAGGGTCGCTATGGGTCGGACCCGACTCGATGGCACTTAACAACAACAACAACAATGGTCTTCTTACTCATTGTCCAACTTTGACATGCATATGAGGTTATTGAAAATACCATGGCTTGGTTGAGGTGCATTGTAGTCCTCAAACTGACATCTTTGCTCTTCAGCACTTTAAAGAGATGTCATGTGCAGTAGATTTGCCTTATTGAGTTTTTGACTTCTGCCTCCATGAGTGTTGATCCAAGCAAAATGAATCTTTGACAGCTTCCATCTTTTTTCCATTTATCATGATGTTCTTTATTGATCCGGTGGTGAGGATTTTTGCTTTCTTTATATTGAGGTGCAACCCATACCGAAGGCTGTGGTCTTTGATCTTCATCAGTAAGTATTTTAAGTCCTCTTCACTTTGAATAAGCAGAGTTGTATCAGCTGCATATTTTAGGTGGTTAATGAGTCTTCCTCCAATCCTGCTGCCACAGTTTTCCTCATATAATCCAGCTTTTCGGATTATTTACTCAGAATGAAGACTGAATAAGTATGGTAAAAGAATGCAGCCCTGGCACACAGCTTTCTTAATTTTAAACCATTCAGTGTTCTTTTGTTTGTTTGTTTGTTTGTTTTTTTTGAACAAATGTTTTTTGGTCTATGTATAGGTTTCTCATGAGCACAATGAAATGTTCTGGAATACTCATTTTCCACAGTGTTGTCCATAGTTTGTCATAATCCATACAATCGAAAGCCTTTGCATAATCAACAAAACACAAGTAAACATTGTTCTGGTATTCTTTGCTTTCAGCCATGACATCCCTTGTTCCACATCCTCTTCTGAATCTGGCTTGAACCTCTGGAAATTCTCTGTCAATGTATGATTGCAACCATTTATTATTTATCTGTAGCAAAATTTTACGTGCATACAATATTAATGATATTGCCCAATGACTTCCACATTCTGCTGAGTCACCTCTCTTCGGAATGCACACAAATATGGATCTCTTCTAGTCAGTTGGCCAGGTAGCTGTTTTCCAAATCTCTTGGCATAGATGAGTGAGTGCCTCCAGTGCTGTGTCCGTTGAAAGATTTCAGTTTGTAGTCCATCAATTCCAGGAGCCTTGTTCTTCGCCAATACCTTCAGTGCACTTGGGACTACTTCTTCCGGTACCCTTGGCTCTTCATCATATGCTGTGTGCTACCTCTTGAAATGGTTTTACATTGACTAATTCTTTTGGGTACAGTGACTCTGTGCATTCCTTCCATCTTATTTTGATGCTTTCTGCATCATTCAATATTTTGCCCATAGAATCCTTCAGTATTACAAGTTGAGGGTTGGATTTTTTCCTCAGTTGTTTCAGTTTGAGAAATGTTGAGTGTGCTCTTCCCTTTGATTTTCTAACTCCAAGTCTTTGCACACAGAAGGTGAGAACATCTGTGTTTGCTGGTGTACCTCTGAACCAACACTGTTAGCAGTTCTTTCCCATGAAGGATACCTATACATAACAGCTCATCTCAGGTCTACTTAGCTTCGCCTTACAGTGCAGGTGGGTGGAAAGAACGATTAAAGAATTTTGGGAGGACCACAGGACCATCAACCTCACTAGCTACTCCCTGGAAACCCTTTGCAGGGTCGCGACTCAACAGCACTTAACAGCAACAACAGTGCTTTCTGAAAGCTTTGAGGGATGGGTGAAGCAGATCCCAGCCGAAAGAGGAGTCAGGGATTAAAAAGTCTCCCCTATAAAAACAAATTAAGAAACAACCCAAACATTTATATGCACTCTTTAGTCCAGAGGATGCCTGGGACTGAAAAAACAAGGCCTTTTAAAAAGTATTGGCTCTAAGCCCTTTAGTAGTTTATTTTCCATGTTGGTCACCTTTTGGTTCTGATGCCCCATCCTGTAACTGGAGGAAGCATTGTATGGACAGCCTCACTCACAAGGAGCAGGGCTCCATTCTGGTTGTAGGTGGCCTTAGTTAGTAAGGAGACACATGCAGAGGTATAATGCTGTCTCCTCCATACACATTTAGAACGATCAGATGACCCTATGATCTGCCAAACCTGATGGTCCAGCAAAATACCTCCCTGCAGAATAAATTTATAAATGACTGACAAGGGACAAATGATCCAGAGGCGTGAAAAGAAGTCAGGGTTTATGTGGCCCTTCGTCTGTGTCAGCCAAGTGAATCTGCAAATCAGTTTCATTCAGCTTGGGAGAGAATCTTCAAACTCTGTCAAGCTCCCCTGTTCTCTGCTTTATGAAGAAGTCCTTCTGTTCTCTTCTTAAACAAAATCGTTTTTAGGAAATGCTCTCCTTGGCTTTTCTGGAGTTCGTGCGAGAGAAGTGGCATACATACCTCCGTCAGTTGAGAGAACACGGGGGTGTAGAGCAGTAGACTTCTCAACCAGTGCCTGATCGACCCATTTCCAAGTTCATGTAGTCCCAGGCTTACAATGGAGTTCTTTTCTGATGACTGTGTTGTAAATTGATTCTGACATAAGTTAAACGCCATAATTGTTTTGAGGTTTCATTGTTCTTGTTGTCTAGTGCCATCAAGTTGGTTCTGACTCATTGTGACCCTGCAGAGGATATCTGATGAGCCTCTGGTGGGTTTGAACTACTGACCTTGCAGTTAACAGTTCTGTGCTTATCCTAAAGTGCCTTTAATTAATTGATATCTTTGTTAGTCCAGCAGTGTTTGAACAGTATATCATAAAATTGAGCATCTGCAAGCAAACATTTGATAAGATAACAATAGCACATTCCATGCTGCAACATATTACTAGCCATAAGTTGTACAGAAATTAAAAAAGGATGCTTGTAAGTATGGTTGGTCTTACATGGGTTCTGTTGCAACTCAAATACATTGTAAATCAGGTGGGAATAGAGAATATGGAAATAAGAAAATTACAAAGTAGCTTTTAAACCATGGAACATTTCCCTAACTAGTTTGCTTAGCTCCTAAATCTGTATTCTTCCACAGCTGAGTCATATCCAGTGATGCCCCACCTCAGTGAGTGGGCTCGTGTTGTCCACGTTAGGGCTTAGTGCATGATGGGAAATCTCACAAGATACCCCACTTTGGTGGGACCGAGTTTAATGAAGCACATGTGCTTTCATTCTGGGGACAAAACCCATAGTTAACCCAAGGGCTAGAAATTAAACGTAGCATTGACAACTTCAGTTTTAGCTCCTCAGAATAAAAACTTGGGAAGGCTTTCCCTACCACTTGTCTGCCTAGACCTCTCAGTCAACAACACACAAGTTTTTAGTCTTTTTCTTTTTAAAACAAATATTACAACATTCATTCTATGCATAAGGTCCATTATTGTGATTGGAATGGATTATTCATGAACTTCTGCTTCTCTTTTCTTTGGCCTGTCTGCCTTCAGCATTGTTTTTCTAAAGTGTTTGGTTAATACCTTAATTTTTGCTAGGGCAGAGGGAGTCAGTGCTCTTGCTTTTTCCTATTTAAATAAAAGCTGAAGAAGCCTATAGAACTGGCTTCCGCAGGCACAGTGGGAATAATGGGCAGGCTGTATTTGAACTTGGCCTTACCAATAGTGATTGTCTACATTCCTTGGCCAGGGAGTTACAGACGTGGGGAGATTAAAATACATTCCAGCATTTTACTGGTATTATAAACAATGAGAACATGCCTTTTCTTGCCCCAAGAATCTCGAGAAACAGAAGATGGCAGGCCTGGAGGCACAGAAGAGGCCCCTGATGTTGGCAGCGCTCAATGGGCTCTCAGTGGCTCGGGTCTCAGGGCGGGAAGAGAGTCGAGCTGATGCCACCCGAGTTCACATAGATGAGAGGGTAAGTGCTGGCCTTTTGGTATGTGCTTCATTTTCTTGCGTTCTCTCCTTGCCCAAACGTGCCAGCTCAAAAAAATTCATATGATGCATGAATTCTTCAATGTGCTATATCAAATCAACCCTTTTCAGTATCTCATGTTTTGTTTCAGGTTTCCTGCCTTGTTTAGTTGGTGATTTGAAAAACAAACTAAAAAAGAAAGGAAAATCAAACCCATTGCTGTTGAGTACCTTGTGGAACAGAACAGCCCCATGAGAGTTTGCAAGGCTGTAAGTCTTTTCAGAAGCTGACTGCCTTGTATTTCTCCCATGGAGCAGCTGCTGGGTTCGAACCACCAAACTTTCAAGTTCTACTTGCCTTAAAGGACCAGTCTCTAACAAATTATACCCACATTGGTCAAGTCATTCAATTTCTTTGGAACTGTTCCCTTTTTTCCAAAATAAGAAAGCTAAATGATTGCTGTAGCTCTCAAATTCTGTGATTTTTTTTTTTTTAATTTTTGTAAATAATTACCATATTGTAGCACATAAGTATCTTACCCAAGTTTTTAACATGCCGTCTCCACCATGACTGTAAAATGGGGCTGATCTTATGGTTAATGCATTGTGGGACCTTTGATTTTGAAAGGCAAAGGGATGTTGCACATTAATGTTAAGAGGTGAACAAAGGTGTTCCTTAGTTTCCAGAATTGATGTTAGAAGGTTAAGAGATAGGATGTGTGCATTTAATAAAGTGCCAGTTACATAAGATTTTACATTCTTGCCAGTATGTAGCAGATATTAGAATGCTGTTAGAGGCCAAAGAAATTTTAAAAGGAACATTTAATTCAGTTAATATGTTAATATTATAAGTAGCTTGCCCCCTCCCCCCCCAATAAAAAAAGAAAAAGGGTGGTAATCCTCAAAAACCATAGAATTTTATAAACTGGCATTGCTGTAAATTTTATCTCTGCAAGCAAAGCTAATGACATAGCTAATGATAAGGGTACTGAAGGAAATGATGCCTTTGAATTTAAACTGTTGCTTGTCCTTCGGTATCTGTTCTGTTTAAGTTGATAATGAGATGAAAAGTTGTTAGCAAGCAGTAGAAATGAGAAATTTGGGTAATAAGACTAAAAGACCAATTATTAGTTGTACATCTTGAAGACCTTTCTTAACATTCTCACTGGAAATAAGTCTGGCTGTTTATTGGAATTTTTGGATAAGATGAGAATTCAGAGAGCTGAAGATAAATCTCCTGTTGCAGTTCAGAACTCTGAAGAAGAAGCTGGAAGAGGGGATGGTATTCACGGAATATGAGCAGATCCCAAAGAAAAAGGCGAATGGCACTTTTAGCACAGCTGTCCTTCCAGAAAATGCTGAGCGCAACCGAATCCGAGAAGTTGTTCCTTATGAAGAAAATCGAGTCGAGTTAATACCAACCAAAGAAAATAACACTGGTTACATTAATGCCTCCCATATCAAGGTAAGAAGGGGAGCGTGAGGGGAAGATTTGTGAAGGATTGCTGCTGGGTTAAAGGTAAAAATGTGGGGAGCAAATGTTTGGGCCGGGCTGCAGCTGTACTTATTGGTTTGTCTTCAGACCCTTGTTGTTGTTGGTAGGTGCCGTCAAGTCGATTCCGACCCATAGTGACCCTGTATAGGGTTTCCAAGGAGCGACTGGTGAGCTTGAACTGCCGACCTTGCGATTCAAGTGACTTTGCAGTCTGGCACATTAACCCACAGCACCACACCAGTAATCTTTAACACGGGTGCTTTCTTAGCCAACTGGAAGGGCACATCTGTTAACTGCAGAGAGAGTGAAATCTTGCAGCTTGAGGAAAACCTCGGGTACTTCTGAAACCTGTTGAAGATTAAGCTTTTTTATCTCTGCATTATAAAAACCAGACCAGTTGCCATAGAGTCAACTCCAATTCATGGCAATCCTGTATGTATACAAGTTTACAGTATTTTTCAGTAGATTACCAGACCTTCTTCTGAGTCACATCTGGGTCAACTCAAACCTACATACAGCCTTTTGGCTGGCAGTCCATTTATTAACCTTTGTGACACTCAGGGACATCTATGAGTCTCCCTGAACTCACTGAAAAAACTAAGGATTATTCATTTACATTTCTAATTGGTATATGATGAAGGTTTGGAAATCGTAAGTATTGTATTACCATATTTTTATGTAAATAGCACTCACCTGTTTTTTGCTATTTGCTACCCAATCCCAAAGGTATATTTTAAGTACCACTATGATGCCAGATTTTTACAGGTTGCTGTCTTAAAAAAAAGGCATAGTATGTTTACAAAAATACTTGCTGAGTGAAGGAAATAGTTGGTAAGTAAAAGTAGATGGTACTTGTTAGTGGTGTAACAAATATGTTATAGTCATTGATGTTTTTCTAATGTTTAGTATCAACAGAAACCACAGACCTCCCTTGTACTGCTACAATTATGTGTTTTATAGCAGGAATCCCAACTTTGCCTGATATCTTGTTGTTATTGTTAAGTGCCCTGGAGTTGGTTCCTACCCATAGTGATTCTGTATAGGGTTTCTGAAGAGCAGCAGGTGAGCTTGAACTGTTGACCTTGTGGTTCAAATTGACTTTGTAGTCCAGCACATTAGTCCACAGTTCCACACCAGGACTACCTTGCCTGATACTTGGAAGAGATTCATTTGAATATAAACCAGGAAAGTGTGGTTAGTATTTAATCTTACAGTAAGAGAAAATAAAAATTTGGTACATTACTCAGTAAATTGTATTATTAACGTTTTGTTAATATTTCAGATACTTCAAACTTTCTTAACTTGGCATTTCGTAGGTGTTAAAATTAGCTTAGCTTGACCCTATTTAGAATTCAAAGTTACAGAAACCTAAATGTATAATAACCAAATGTTTCATGGCATTGTTGATTAATGCGCTGGACTGGAAAGTTTCTTTGAAGCCGCTCCTTGGAAGACCGATACAGGGTTGCTAGGGGTCCATACTAACTCAGTGGCACTTGACAGCAACAGCAGTTTGTGTGTGAACAGAATGAATACAATTGTAGTAAATTTCATCATTTGCTGAGCATTCTCAAGTGGGGAAATGTATCTATATACTAACATTAAAGCAACTGTTACGTGTATTTTTAAACAATACAAAGTTCACATTAATATTCCATTGTGATCAATAGTCTAGAAATCCATTCTGGCCTAGTCCAGAATTATTTTCCTTTTTTTATTGCACTTCTCAACTGTAGCAAAATTATTATAAATCTCTAGTCGATGCATCAGTTATAACTAATTCCAGCGTTGTTGTTGTTAAGTGCCATCGGGTTGATTCCAACTCTTAGTGATCCTGATTATGGTTTCCTAGGCTTTAAGTCTTCACAGGAGTAGAAAGCCTCATCTTTTTCCAGCAGAGTGGCTAGCTGGTGGGATTGAACCACGGATCTTGTGATTCACAGTCCAATGCTTATCATATGAAGTCACCGTGCTCCCCAATTTCAATAGAGTATGAAAAAATAAACTATGGTTGTTGTTGGTGGTTATGTGCCATGGAGTTGGTTCTGAGTCTCATTGACCCTGCATAGGGTTTCCGAGGCTGTAAATTTTTACGTGAGCAGAAAGCCTCATCTTTCGCCCACAGAACAGCTGGTAGTTTTGAACTGTTGACCTAACAGCCCAACTTATAACCATGGTTAGGTTTAATGTTTTTGTACATAGAGGATAGATAACCACATGTCAGAGAACACAATCAAAAGAAACATAAAACAGCCATTGTCATAGATTGTACTGTTCATTTTCACTCTTAAAAAACAATCTTGTTACTGTTGAAAATATATACTGCTGAATTTACAGCAAGTCAGATATTTCACCAAGTACTGTGCAGTGACACGGATTACATACTTCAAGTTGAACAACCTTTCTCACCCTATTTTTCTGAGTTAGTCTTCCTCAGGAATGTAAACTTACTGTCTGTTCCCTAAGGTTCCTATCTAATCTTCCCACTTACTGTTGTCATTGTGATCTCAGATAGATAGTTCTTAAAAGAGCAGTAGAATGCTCAAGAAAGACATTATCTACTAGTTCGCCAAACTATTGTTTGGTTTTAAAAAGACTTAAGGGATATTTTTGTTTAAGGTTTAAAGATTATCTTGGAAGGCACAGGGAGGAATGCAAGAGATAAAGTGCATAGAGGTAAATACTGGTGTTAACTGATGGTACAGGGATGGGATTGCAGTCATTGTAATGAAGCAATGATTTGTTGAATGTAAATCTGTTCTGCAAACCTTCACTCAGTTTACAATAAAAAGTTAAAAAAAAAAAAAAGATTATTTTAAGACAATAGTTTCAGGGGTTCATCCTAGCCTTTATAATTCTACAAAGTCTGGAGTCCATGAGAATTTGAAATTCTGTTCTACATTTCCTCTCTTTTGAGTAGGATTCTGCTGTAGATTCTTTTTTCAAAACTTAAGTAATGGTAGCCAAGCATCATCCAGTTTTGACTTGGGTTGACAAAGAAGGCAATTGTTCACAAAGGCAGTTAGCCACATTTTATTTCCTCCTGTTCTTCATTACTCACTCTCCTCCTTCCTCTCTCGTTCTCATTTTTGAGAGCAAGAACTAAATTAAAGAATGAGCCCCAGGAAACTCTTAAGTAAAACTAGTGGTGGTGAATATCATGATCTTAGCTTAGTTTATCAAATAATGACCCAAAGACACTTCTCAGAGACATAGATCACACAGCTGCTTTTTGATAGTGTCTATGAAAATCATTTGGGGTTCTGGTGTGGCACTGTAGGATAAGCACTGGACTGTTCACCACAGAATCAATCACACCAGCAGCTTCTCGGAAACAGGGTTGCTATGAGTCGGAACTGACTCAGTGGAACTTAACAACTACATGAAAATCTGAGATTACAATATTACACTGTCTTCTTTTGCTCATATCGTTTCTACCCATTTTCCGTCTGTCCCTGGAAAAAGCTGTCACTCTGCATGAATTTTGCCTTCGGTATTGTTAACAGCATCCCCTTTCTCAGTGTTCTCCAAAACCCCATGTGTCAGCTGGTGGGCCCCGGTTAGACATGGGGTTGTGCTTAATAAGACCCACAGAACTCACAGGAACTTCTTGTACTTTCAGAATAGAGTTCTACATCTTGCCATTGTTTTCTCCTCTGTTACCAGCGTCAATAGCAGAAAACAGAGATTTATTTGCTCCAGAGGTGGAATCACATCTGTGAAGTCTACCTCTGTACACTGGTGGTTGCATTTGTACTGCAGTTTTTAATACCCTCCTGTCAATACTGGAAATATGCTAAAAGGCCCCAGGCAACAGTATTCTCTGGAAGTATTCACAATTCCTACACGTTAGGTGCCAAAGAGGCTAATGTTTAAAATCACAATTCTACAGATTAACCAAAAGCACAGCCAGCAAATATATGAATATTTTCTCCCACCAGTACTTGGAAAATGGATTTTGCTTGCCAGCTTTGACCTACACATATCTTGTATAATGAGACAATAGCCGACATTGTATTTGCTTGAATCAAGTTGCTATATGGTTTCATAAAATAAAGGAGGAAACAAAGTCTCAAACAACGGTCACTTCATTGCTCCTAGAGTGCTCTAGAGATCCGGATTGAGTGATAGTGTAAAGAGCTGACTGCAGTGCCAAGGCACAGGAATAGAATGGGGCACACAAAGAACTCCCCCAGAGGCTGCCATTTACCCCTGATCACATGATCAGCACAGACCCAACGTCTTTCTTACAAGTCTCTGCAAGTTATAACTGCCGAATTCCCCTCTCCGAATCACCCTGAGCTGCATGGGGTAATTATTTTATCATTCAGCACATTCTCTTGACTCCATAGTTGAGAAGGTAGTTAAGATTGGAGCAGTGCACGAGGTGGGGTCATTATAACATCTTGACTTTAGAACATTCATGATCCCCTGCCATAGCTGCAGTTACAGTGAGATTTACCACATGCATCCTTTCAGGCCAGCAGTAGAAAGATAAGTCTCCCAAAGCATGTTGCTCCCTGGTAGACTTTTTATTATTTAAAAGGAAGCTGTAGAGAAGTGCTTCTCAAACTGTGGATCCCAGCATATTAGTGAGGTATGAAATCGATTTGGTGAATATAAGCAGGTCATTGATTTTTTTAAAAATTTAAATAAGGCTCCTCCTGGGGCTTTGGGACTTGATATTGTTTGTAGTTTGTTCTTCCTTGGAGGAGGTTAGGAAAAATAGAAGGGTTTAAGACAGGTACTGCTTCAATGTTTAATGAGGCTAGGCAGAGGTGGGAAAGCAAAGATCAGCTTTTTCCTCTCAGTAGAGCCCGGGCTATTAGGAGAATGGAATTTCGTGTTTGCTTTGCCCATTCTCCATTCCTCATCGAGGCTTCGGTTGCAAATGCTAAACCTCCATTCAACAGTTAAACATAATTAACTTTGTTGATATTATTTCACAGCCAAATAGCTTGATAGTCATACTCTTCGTGTGTTCATTAGCTCTGTCACATTTTTAAGTCTCAGCTGGTGATAAATGCTGCTGAGCTACACTTGTGTTTCACAGGATAGCGCTCAGCTGAGACGGGGTACACTACTTCACTGTAAAAATAAACTTCAAGTCATAATGTTGATGGGCCTCTCACAGCAAGGAAGCATCCATCTTCCCATCTTCCCTTTTGGTAGTAGAATTTGCCACTTGAACTACCAAACCTAAAGGAATTCCATCCAGACAGGCCTCCCAGTGGCCCCTCATATAAAGGCATCTATAGTAGAACGAACACTAAACTTGGGCTCCTCCGAAGGCCTCTTTGTCGTTGTCCCACCTTACCTCTTAGTGGTCTTATGAACATTAGTAAATCCTCGACTCTCTAGCAGTCTGATTCCACATACAGAGATAAAAACAGCCTTTCTACTTCACCCATTGGCTGCAAACTCAAGGAGTGCCAACTATTGGACACATACTGCAAACTGTCAAGTGTAGTCAGTACTATTTGCGTTTTCACCTATAATCTACAGTCCTGTTCTTTAAACTTGATAGTTTAATAAATACCATTATCACCTAATAAAGATTTGAATGGAATGGGAAAAAAAATTAAATAGACTGGAATAGAAAGTATTAGAATACATTACACATAGGAGTCCTGGTGTGGCACTGTAGGATATGTAGTATATAGATAGATAGATAGATAGATAGATAGATAGATAGATAGATAGATAGACAGATAGATACATATATATGTTGTTGTTGTTAAGTGCCCTCGAGTCGGTTCCGACCCATAGCGACCCTGTACAGGGTTTCCGAGGGTGTAAATCTTTACGGGAGTAGAAAGCCTGATCTTTCTCCCGCGGAGCAGCTGGTAGTTTCGAACCGCTGACCTTAAGGTTCGCAGCCCGATTCGTAACCACTACGCTACCAGAGCTCCTTTATATATAGATATATAGATATATCTATATATGTACGTATACTGTAGGATATGAACTGCTAACCACAGCTGCAAGGTTGGCGGGTCAAACCCTCCGGCTTTTCCTCGGAAACCCCGTACAGGGTCACTGAGTCAGAACTGACTCAGTAGTACTTAACAACAAAGACATTTAGTGGACTCAACTATTATTTCTGCAATAACTAGATCCTGTTAGCTTGTACACATATTATTCATATAATATTGTTTGTATATACATTTATGTGTGTGAGAATATATGGTGGTGATTATGTGCAGTGGAGTTGGTTCCGACTCATAGTGACCCTGAATAGGGTTTCTGAGGCTATAAATCTTTACAGCAGAAAAGGAGCAGAAAGTCTCATCTTTCTCCCTTGGAATGGCTGGTAGTTTTGAACTGCTGACCTTGAGGTTGTCAACCTGACTGGTAACCACTATGCTATCAGAGCTCCTTGTGTGAATTTATAAATATACCCAAAAAACCAAACCACTGCCTTTCAGTTGATTCTGACTCGGAGCGATCCATATAGGGTGTATTTATAGGTATAAACAGCCTCATCTTTGTCCCTTAGAGTGGCTGGTGGATTTGAACTGCTAGTTTTTCAGTTAGCAGTCCAGTGCTTATCCTGCAGCACCACCAGAGCTCCATATATGTGTATGTACATATGTACATAGGTATGGATGTATATATTGTTAAGTGCCATCGAGTTGGTTCCAACCCATAGCCACCCTGTATTGGATTTCTGATGAGCTACTGGTGGGTTTGAACTGGCGACCTTGTGGTTCACCAACATTGCCTTCCAGTGCTTATCGTACAGTGCCATACAAGAACTTCATATATATATATAATATACATACATATATACATACATACATACATACATACATACACATACAGCATAGTGGTTATGAGTTTGGCTTCTAATCTCATGTTCAGCAGTTAGAAACTACCTGCGGTTCCGTGGGAGAAAAATGAGGCTTTAAGCTCCTGTAAAGACTTACAGCCTCAGAAACTATGACTCCACAGTACATAACCACCACCTTATATACATACACATAAACAAACACACAAAGTGGGCTCAAACACAACAGTTGTGAAGCTGGCACAGGACTGGTCAGTGGTTCATTCAGTTGTACACAGAGTGCTACTATGTGTAGGAATCAACTCAACATCACATAACTACAAGATATACATGTGCACACACATGAGAGGGCTTCAAGTTCCGGCAAAAACTGAAATGAAAACATGGATTCTTTGCCGTGGACTTTTTGAAGCCCATACATGCAAACATAAATGTTTATATATGTTGTTTTGTTGTTGGGTGCCATCGAATTGGTTCCAACTTAAAGCACCCCTGTAGAGGGTTTCCAAGAGTGGCTGGTGGATTTGAACTGGCGACCTTTCAGTTACCAGTAGAGTGCTTATCCTACAGTGCCACACTAGCACTTTTCAAAAAGTTCATAGAAAATGGAATTTAAAGATAATACAATTTTTACACAAAAATTTTAAAGACCCTCTTGTATGATACTGTGTTGTGTGTGTGTATGGTTCATGGGTCAAACCCACCAGCCACTTCAGGGGAGAATGATGTGGCTATCTGCTTTCAGAAGAATGTATAGCCTCAGGATCCCTACAGGGCAGCTCTACTCTTGTACAGGGTCATAATGCATCAGAATTGACTTAACAGCAGGAAGTGTATATACATACATGCACAAACAGATACATGTATATTTATGATTTTAATATGCACTGACTGTACATATATTATTATATCACAAACTAAAAAAAAAAAAAAAAGTTCCTGTAAATAATTTTAACAGGCTTGAGTAGCAGAGGTAGCAACTGTGTTAGTCACCATCCTGTATAGTCTTAAAGGAGCTCTGGTAGCATAAGTTACAAATCAGGCTGCTAACCTTAGGGTCAGCAGTTTGAAACTACCAGCTGTTCCATGGGAGAAAGATGAGGCTTTCTGCTCCCGTAAAGATTTATACCCTTGGAAACCCTATGCAGGGTCGCTGTGAGTTGGAACCAACTCTGTGGCACGTAACAACAACAACAACATATAGTCTTAAAGTTTTTGATCAGTCTTTGCTCTGGCCCATTTTGCCTTTATACTAACATCCAAGGTTTAAAAGTGCCTGAAAAGGTGCCTGCTCAGCATTTATGTCTGTCCTGGATGGGCTCTGTCTGGGTGGGCTCTGTTTACCAGTGCTTTCTTTGTTTTCCAGGTGGTGGTTGGTGGGGCAGAATGGCACTACATTGCCACTCAGGGGCCCCTGCCACACACATGCCACGACTTCTGGCAGATGGTGTGGGAGCAGGGGGTGAATGTCATCGCCATCGTCACTGCAGAGGAGGTAGGGGAATGACCCTCAGCCAGCCTCTTCCCACTCAGGAGGAGGGTGGGGGTGCAGCCGAAAGACCAGCTTTGCCTCTGACTTTCCTGCCCCACCATCCTCTCTGCAGTGTTATTTCTCGGCAAACCCACTCCGTTTTGGCATGTGTCTGTTTTCTCTTCTCACTTCATGTAGATTTGGTTTCTCCCACAGAGGTGATTTATTGCTGAATGACCCATTTTCATCTCCCTTTTAACTCTTTTCTTTGGATTGCCATGAAGTAAAATTGTAGAAAATTCTAAAAAAACTCAGTTCTGCTAGGTGACTCTTGTAGGCCAAACAAAGCGATGATCTTTTCACCGGAATTTGAGAACCCGGGGCTGCTCTGGGTACATGGACGTGTCATGGTACTTATCAGCTGAAGAGAGACCAGAGGCTGTTGTTCCTGGAGTGGTCCTCTATTCTTTAGGGAGGGAAAAGAATCTTTTTTTTTCTTCCTTTGCCAATACAAACACAGTTTTCCTATTGTAACTGGAGAACTCTGTGTGCTGTTATTTAAAGAAAAAAAAAACCTGGCACAAGCTACCAGTTGATCCAGCAGTTAGCTTTGAGCTTGTGTTCTTTGGGGGGGATGAAGTTTTACGTTTCTTCTCTTGTCACATTCTCAACTTAGAAAAAAACAACAAAACACCTTTTTGTTCCTTTGATGAAACTCCAACCTATATTTTGAAGTCATTTAAGAAGCTAGCTTTGTATGTTTTATTAAAAATCTATGGTATTGAGCTACCCCTTTTCTAACTATTTTAAGAAGAGGTGGAGAATAGAGAAAACTGAGAAAAAGTTGTATCTGAGTAATTGCTTTCCAGAACAGCTTATTAGACAGAACAACTTTCTTTAGAGAAAGTTGTACTTCTCTGGACGCACCTTCCCACAAAGAGGAATTCTCCTTGAGATCTCTACAGTAACTTACAAACATACAGAATTAGCATGATTGCAGGGGATGCATGTTGTATGCTGTCAAATCCGTGCCGATTCATAGTGACCCTGTATAGGGTTTCTGAGAGCATTTGTTGGGTTTGAACCACTGACCTTGAGATTAGCACAGGTAACAGCCCAGTGTGTGTCCTATGGTAGCATACCAGGGCCACAAGGGATGAATTGTTTTTGTTGTTGTTAAGTGCCATTGAGTCGGTTCTGACCCATTGTGACCTTGTGTAGGGTTTCAAAGGTGCAGCTGGTGAGCTTGAACTGCCGACCTTGCGGTTCAAACCAACTGTGCAGTCCAGTGCGTTAACCCACAGCACCACAGCAGGGGCATACCACATGTGCAAACCTCAGAGGTACGGCTCTTGCCCTCATGGAGCTTACACTCTCGGAAGAGGCAGTACAATGTGAACAAATGAGATGGTAGATGCCCGCGAGAAAATGTAACAAAGTCATGAGTAGAGAAGGACCCCTGCTGGTGTAGTGTTGGGCACTCCTCTCAACAGCAGGTGCTCCCAGAACTCCACCTTCTTCCTGTGTGCCCCTTACTCCCCACCTTGGGTCTCCTTCCCAGCCACATCCCGTTAACCCTTCCACCCCAACCAGGGATTGTAAAACTATGCAGAACTTAAAAATAGACCATCTTTTGTAAGTGATTGAGAATACATATGCTCTGAAAAGATGTTAACAATTGGCAGAAAATGAGAAGTGGGGTCATTGTCCATTATATGAAATACTGAGCTGAAACACAGAGTCAGGCTGGACAGAAAGTGAGTTTATTATTCCTAGGTAATAGCAATAGCACCACAGTCTCTCTGGCTCACCTCCAGTGAGCATCTGAAATCTGGATTCTTCTCTTGGCTGCATTACTCATGGTTTTTGAAATTTCCAGGGTTGTTCAACTCTTTCTTGAGAAAAATGAGAAGCAGGACCTAGAGCAATTACTAGAATCTGTCACTTCCCTGTTTAAAGTCTTTGAATGGCTTCCCATTGTATGTGAAGTAAGATCCAAATCCTTTAACTTGGATCACAAGGCCTCTCTGATCCCATCTCTGCCACCCTTCCCTGTCTCATCACACTGTAAATGCATTGGTGACTTTGTTTTCTGAGCACACCAGGCTTGTTCCTGAATCTTCGGGCCACTGCACTTGCTCGTCTCTTTAATATTGAGCCACAGCTTAGTTGTGAATCTCAAAGCTTCCACTGATGATGTTGTTGTAAAATGTCATCAAGTCAACTCCGACTCTTAGCAACCCTGTGTTCAACAGAACGAAACACTGCCAGACCCTGCACCATCCTCACAGCTGTGGCAGCCACTGTGTCAGTCAATCTCATTGAGGGTCTTTTTTACTGACCCTCTTCTCCAGTGACCCATCCCTCTGATAGTTAACAGTTTCGAAAGTGGTAATTACTGTAAATATTATTTTTAGCCTTACCTAAAATTTATAGCATTTGCTACATGATACATACTGCACATTACTACTGAATAACATAGAAGCTATTTGTATTTTCCTTTGACCTCAGATTTTAAGATTAAGAGGATAAAGACTGCCTGTGACTTATTTCCAATTTTACTTTTTTACGTGATTTAGGAGGGCGGAAGAACCAAGAGCCACCGATACTGGCCCAAGCTGGGTTCCAAGCACAGCTCAGCCACCTATGGCAAGTTTAAGGTCACCACAAAGTTCCGAACAGATTCTGGTTGCTATGCAACCACAGGCTTAAAGGTCAAGCACCTTTTGTCTGGACAGGAAAGGACAGTGTGGCATTTGCAATATACGGACTGGCCAGATCACGGCTGCCCCGAGGATGTCCAAGGATTCTTGTGTGAGTTTTGTCTTCCTGTTCTGGGTTTTACCAACTGCATCAGTGAGTGGTCTGTTGGTTGGAGATGAAATGTAAAGAGAGGATCTTTCTCTCATGTAGCAAAAGCTAATTCATCAAAATCATTGTAATACTGAGTTATATGTGCCTTCATAAAGAAAATAATGTAATTTATGGAAGTATTTGAGTATTTGTTCACCTTTTATGCAAATACACTAAAGTGGTGTTAAACTAATTTGTCCTATCTTGATTTAGATTTTTGACTACTGATTCATAAATGACTTATTTTAGATGTTCCATGGAGGCCTGTGTTTCTCAGGCAAGCCCTGTCTTTTTGTGTGGCAGTTAATGTCAGTACTTTCTCATACTTGTGAGTTAGATATTAAGAATTGTTGAAACCAGCTTGTACTTTTTGTAACTGGAATGCACTCAGAAGACTAATTGATGACTTTATATTTGTTTCTTCCAGGATGTGGATCTTTTAGAATTTAGTTTACCCAGAGCATATGTAGTACTTTGATTTGAATGCCAAATCTTCGGTGTGTGCCAGATCAAGCACTAAGAATGAAGAGAAAGTAGGGCTCATAGTCTTGGTTTGGAAGGAATTCACACGTCGGTGGCACAACACTTAAGTGCTCAATTGCTAAATGAAATGTTGGCAGTTCAAACCCACCTAGCTGCTCTGTGGGAGAAAGACCTGGAAATTGGGCTCCCGTAAACGTTGTTGTTATGTGCCATTGAGTCAATTTCAATAGTGACACTACAGAACAGATTGGAACTGCCTCACAGGGTTTCCAACGTTGTAATCTTTGCTTGAGCAGATTGCCAATTCCTTTCTCCTGCAGAACCATTGATAGGTTCTAACTGCAATCCTTTTGGTTAGCAGCTAAGCACTGAACCATTCTCTGCCACATGGGGGTGCCATGAGTTGAAAATGAACTCACTGGTACCCACCAACACAGTGTAAGGGGAAAGTAGACCAGTATTTATCACCCAAGCTGAGATCTGATTCTGCTTTTTCATGATGACTGCAGCACTTTCCCTGACTTCCAACAGAACCCAGCTGTTAGTGACTTGATTCCCTCTGACAACCCTTTGTGTGTCAGGTAGAACTGTACTCCGGAGGTACCTCTGGGTGGCCTCAGACTTAACAACCTTTGGGTTAACAGTCAAGCCCATTAACTGTTTACACCACCCATGGGGTAGCTCTGGTAGCGAAGTGGTTACGAATCGGGCTGCGAACCGCAAGGTCAGCAGTTCGAAACTACCAGCTGTTCCGCGGGAGAAAGAGGAGGCTTTCTGCTCCCTTAAAGAGTTACAGCCTCGGAAACCCTGTGCAGGGTCGCTATGAGTCAGAACCGACTCCACGGCACATAACAACAACAACAACATATGGGGTACTACTTCCTGAAATCTTGCCTACATGCCCTATACTTGTGGAGAAAACTACATTCCTTATTTATTCAACTGAGAAGAAAGCCCTGGGCAACAGAGCATAGCAGTGATGGTTGCAGAACTTGATTGCTATAATCAGTGTTGATGAATTATACATATGAAACATGTTGAATTGGCTAAAGTTATTTATATTTATACAATAATTAAAAGCTATAATGTTCTCATGTATACTATCACATAATTCACAATAAAACATAAAAAAAAAAAAAAAAAAAAGGGACCAAGGTAGTAAAAATTTAAACAAAGGAGGTGGCGGCTTTGGGCTTCTTTTTGGATTTACACGGATTGTGCTGTTGGTCTGTCCAGCTGGCGGGAGACCAGGCCCATCATCCAGAAATATTGGAGAATGTCAAAAACCTTATTTTATTTTTATATTCACTTAGACTAGGGTAGGGTTGAGGGAGGTGAAAACAGAGGGAAAGTAAGATAGAATAGGTTTTCAGGTACTTCAAAGTACCATTTTATACTATACATTCCATCAGGAAATTTTGGATGCATACTTTGAAATATTTCACTGTCCATGAATGTGCTGATGGTCATTGGAGAAGTGAAAGCAGAGTGTGGCAGTGAAGATAGGGGTCAGGAAATAGAGGACAACATTTAGAGGGGTTTAGTGATCAGGTGTTTAAGGAATCCCTGGTATTGTGCTGTAGGATAAACATTGGACTGCAAGGTCGGCAGTTTCAACCCACCAGCCACTCCTGGAATCTCTATGTTGTTGTTGTTAAGTGCCGTCGAGTCGGTTCCGACCCATAGCGACCCTGTACAGGGTTTCTGAGGGTGTAAATCTTTACGGGAGTAGAAAGCCTCATCTTTCTCCCGCGGAGCAGCTGGTAGTTTCGAACCGCTGACCTTAAGGTTTGCAGCCTGATTCGTAACCACTACGCTACCAGAGCTCCTTATAGAAGGTCACTATGTGTGGGAACCCAGTGGCACTTAACAACAATAGAGATCTGCAGTTCAAACTATTAATGACAAAGACAGTGAGTTTTGCTTAATTTTTTTCCTCCTTGTTAACTCTTTTTCTACCTTTCTGGTAATTTTTCGTTGATTGATTCCCCAAGAGGCAGAAAATGGGAACAATAAAAGATAGGATTGATGAATGGCTAACAGGTCTGATAAAAGGTTTGATGCTTAAAAGGTAGTGAAAAAGTCAAGTCAAATCTTGTTCTCTTGAACTAACGTGTTGTTAGCCGACACATGACAACTTCACGCAGACTAGAAGGAAATGCTCCCTGGAACGTCACCATCGGACTGTTGCGAACCATAGGATTAAAAAAAACAAAAACAAAAAACTTTTTTTTTTTTTTTACAGAGCAAATTGTTTTTTCTATTCAGCAGTTGATACACATTTTAATTCATGACATTGATTTGCAGTTCCCATAATGTAACAGCATTCTTCTCACTTCCTCCCCATTTCCTGTTTCCATTCCTCCTTGTTTACTAACATTTCAGAACTTTATCAAATGGGCAAAAGCTGCCCTTTTGGTCTTGATTGGCTGTTTATTTTAAGGTGTGCATACCTCCCTAGTGTTATTATTTCCCTTAGAAATTTGTCTATTCTTTGACAGGAAATTTAACCACTGGGGGTGAGTTCGGTTCCAGATTTGAAGGGTGACGAATGGCTACATTCTCAGGGCTTCCACGTGTCTCTTTCTCTGACCAGTGAGCCATTCCATGGGATTTTCAATGACTGGTTTTAAGGAGGCCAACCTAAATTACCAAAAATAGAATGTTTTTAACGAATGTAGATTTATTAATGCTTCCCAAAAATTCATGTGTAATTGTGCTGTGTGTAACCTCAGAAATGTGGACTGCCTATTTATTCTAAACTTTAAAAAATATTTTTGCTCATGTGTCAATCAGATTACTTGGAAGCAGAACACCTAGTAGTTTACATTGTCTGCCATCTGCTAGGAGTCTTCAGTAAGTTGCCATTTAAGAAACTTGATTAAGTCCACAAAGACAATGTTCTACATCCTACTTTGGTGAGTAGTGACCAGAATCCTTATGAGCACATGAGTGGCTATCCAAGGTGCAACTATTGATCTGTCCATGTGCAGAAGAAAGAAGAGTGATGAATATTGAAGATGCTTGGAATCAATTAGTCCAACAGATTGATGGAACTCATGAACATCAGTTTCGATGACTCTGAGACCAGAAGAACTAGATGGTGCCTGGTTACCACTACCAACTGTTCTGAAAAGGATCACATTAGAAGATTCTAGATAGAGTAGAAGACAACGTGGAACAAAACTCAAAATTTAAAAAGACTAGGCTTACTGGTCAGAAAGAGACTGGAGGCCTTTGACCACCCTTCAGGTCTGAAATGGAACTCATCCTCATCACCCAGTTTTCACCAAGCAGTAGAAAGTATTGGGGGAGGGGGGCAATAACACTAGTGAGGTATGCACACCGTGGAATGGTAAACCATTCAGGATCAAAAGGCCGACTTTCACCTGGGGGCAAGGTTCAGCGGGATTGGGAAGGAGGGTGAAATGGGAACCACAGGGAGAAAGTAGGATATCAGCTGTTGCATGGAGGGGATTGCAGTCACTGAGATGAAACAAAGTGTGTGCTTTGTTGGATGATCTGCTCTGTAAACCTTTCGATTCACAATCAAGAGTCCCAAAAAGTTAATGCTATTGACAGAGGAAGCGTCCACTAGCATTCTCTTTGATGAAACCCCGCTTGAAAGTAGCATCTACTGTGTTGCCCACCAGTCCCTTTATTTTTCCTTCTTGAATTTACTGCAGTGACTACTTAGCCGCCAAATAGCTTGTCCTCTAGCAGAAAAAATTGTGAAGAGACTTCTTGGCACCGGGTATTTAGCTCATATTGGTGCCCAGGGGGCACTACTGTCTTGGTTTATCTCAGGTCATTTGCCTTCCTTCTTGATTAGTTGCATTTTGACCTCATTTTATACTGTTCTTCTTTTGGTAAATGATTTCCCATTACTTTTTTATTGTGCTCAAGTGCCGTGGAGTCAGTTCAAACTCACAGTGACCCTCATAGCATAGGGTTTCCGAGGCTGTAAATCTTTACGGGAGCAGAATGCCTCATCTTTCTCCCACAGAGCTGCTTGTTTATCCTACAGAACCATCCCACTCCTTACTTTATCATTACATGGCATCATAAGGGAAAGTTGTTGTCGTTGTTATATGCCGTGGAGTCGGTTCTGACTCATAGCGACCCTGTACAGGGTTTCCGAGGCTGTAAATCTTTACGGGGGCAGAAAGCCTCCTCTTTCTTCCGTGGAACAGCTGGTAGTTTCGAACTGCTGACCTTAATTTAAGGTTCACAGCGTGATTCGTAACCACTATGCTGCCAGAGCTCCTTATAAGGGAAAGTATGGATTTACTATTCATTGTACATCAGATGCTTTTAAATGATTAGAATGGTTCAAGACACTCTTTTCCCAACAACAGTTTGAGCATTTCCCCTGCAGGTTCATTTGCACTGTTGCCCTGAGATGAAATTTTCCAAATATCAAGACCCTCCAAACTGGTTTCGCCCCTGAGTCACTACAAAATCCAAATTAATCATCAGCTTTCTCTAGTTTCTGGACAAGCTGTGGCTTATTCAGACATAATTCTTTTCTCTTTTTTCATGATCATGATAGTCGTTAACTCTTGTATGGATGTAATTTTTCTTTTTATTGTGTCCAGTTGGAGTAGTGAGCAGACCTCCACTCAGTCCTGCTGAGCCAGGCATATATAGGAAGGGATGAAGAGCAAATATCACAACCCCCTCTACCCCACACTCATGTTGCCTTTAAATGGGAGCTCACCCTGATCTACTCTTTGTAAATTCCCATCATAAACACGTAAAGTCCATGCTGAAAACAGTCTATTTGAAAGCCTGTAAATGCAATCATGCCTTAGTTGACATTCATTCATTCAGGGCGGGAGAGGAAGGGGGCAGATGGATGCTCTCTTCCCACCAGAAATTGGCTCTGACAGGCGGTGTTTCAAGGGGACTTAGTGTTGTTCTGATCCCAGTCTGTTAATAGTAGAAATTGCTAGAAGTAATGTCTAGAATCATCTGCTTGGGGGACTTGGGGATTTGAAGAGGGGAAAACAGAATTTAATTTTTAAAAAAGAACTATTTAATTTAAAGAACAAATTCTCCTATGAACTAATTGACTCCCAGCTGGTCCTTTCTGGATCCAGAACTAGACAGTGGGTACCAGCCAAATCATTAGTGTCTTGTAAGAACTGTAAATTATTGTCACTTTAAAGGGAAAAAAAAAAAAAAAGACTCATCAGTTTTCTTCCCCCTCACTTTTATGCAAAGCCACAGAGGATTTTGGGTGACAAGATTTGCATTCTATCTTGCAGCCTACTTGGAAGAGATCCAGTCGGTCCGTCGCCATACCAACAGCATGTTGGAAGGCACCAAGAGCCGGCACCCTCCCATAGTCGTCCACTGCAGTGCCGGGGTGGGCAGGACGGGTGTGGTCATCCTCTCTGAGCTGATGATCTACTGCCTGGAGCACAATGAAGTAAGTCATTCTGGGCTTCTGAGTTCCCACCCTGGGGACAGATGGGCACAATGGCCAGACAGGTGCCTGTTCCCTATATCCTTTCATTTCCTCTCTCCTGACAAGACTTCTTTAGACTCAAGACTCCTAATTCGACTCTGACATTTGTCGTCTTTCATATCTCTGACCCCTTGATGCTCTGCCTAGATGTTCAGATATATGGTAGCAGAAATCAGAATGTGAGGTAGGAAGCATTTGGAGAATTCAATCATCATTGGTAGCTACCTTCAGAAGACCTCAGTGTTCTATAGCCCATCTGGGTTTATTGTGGGTAATTTTCCATAGTGGGTTAGGTAGTTGCATATGGTTTCGATGCATTTCTCAGATGGGTTGTGGCTTAAATCCAACATAAGAAATGTGTATACTTTGGAAATGCTTTTTATTCTTCAGAGTGAGGTTTTTATTTAAGAGGAGGTTGTTTGCTCCGGTCTAGACCTGGAATTGTGTGGCGTAGCAGACCAGGGTAGATCTTCCAAGTATGCAAACAGTACCTGTCTTTGTACAGCCTAGAAACCCCAGGTCTTCTCACTGTAGAACTACTATGCTGTTGAGCTTGTGCCCACAAGGGTGCCCGGATTTCCTTGATTGCTATAGGATTAGGAGGTACACTGAGAAGCTTTTTCCTTTAGTGTAGGTGACACAAACAGCAAAGGCTAAAGAATGGTCCTTCTACCTTTTGTTTACAATGGAACTCTATAGGTCACTGTGAGTCAGAATCAACTCAGTGGCGGTGGTGTTTGTATAGATTTTGGAGTCCTTGGATAGTGCAAATGGCTAAGCTCTTAGCTGCTAAACAAAAGGTTAGATGTTCAAGTCCACCCAGGAGCACCTCAAAAGAAAAGCCCTGGATATGTTTCTGAATAACCAGGCATTGAAGATCCTATGGGACACAGTTCTCTAAATCACACGGGTTGCCGTGACTCGGAACTGACTCAGCAGCAATTGGTACTGTTGTTAAGGGCGCCGTCCTGCTTTTTCTTTCTCATCCTCATAGTCGCTGTGCAGTGGAACCAGGTACATGCCCTTCCTCCTATTTTACTGATAATGAAGTTGACACCCCAAGTAATTAAGTGACTAATCTATAGTAATGTGGCTCTCAAGCAGTGGTGCGGAACAGTGTCTTCTGCCTCCTGGTCCAGAGTTACTTCCAGTCTTTACTCTGTCTCCACATGCCGAGAGTGTCATTTAATTACGGTTCTGTTTTCAAATTACACAGCTTGGCAAATCAAAGGAAAGTTCTGTAGTGGTTTTGTAGATTCAAAATGCAGTTACATCTTATATCATAATGCATGTGCTTACTCAAATGGTTTGAAAGCCAGATTCTATATTGTATACCACAATGTCTGTTATATTGAAACTTCCAGGAAAACAATAAATATGAGGTTTAACACATTCAGAGAACTTCAAACACTCTGCCAATAAAAAGTTACTTTTAGAAACTTTCAGTCTGTGCTCACAAGTGTGTGTGCTACTGAAAAGGAGGAGTCACACTGGCCGTGGCTTAGTGTTTCCTTTAAAAAATCCTGTCAGTTCACCCTGGGGATCAGTGGAGACCACACAGTGGAATTTTGTCATCTTCCAGGAGTTGTCACCATTTTGTCTCACATAGGAGGTCATTGTTGATTATGTGCTTCTTTGTACCCTGTTACTGGAGTCCTGGTGTGGCTCGGTAGGATGAGCACTAGACTGCTGACCTCAAGATCAGTGGTTCAAACCCACCAAGCTGCTCCTTGGAAACCCTGTACAAGATCACTATGAGTCGGAACCAACTCGATGGCACTTAACAGTAACAACCTTGTTACTACTAATGACCGATTGCCACTGAGGTGTCTCTGACTCAGAGTGACCCCATGTATGCCAGAGTAGAGCTGTGCTCCGTAGGGTCTCCGTTCAGAAGCAAATCACCAAGGCTTTCTTCTGAGGTACCTCTGGGGAGACTGGAACCACCAACCTTTCAGTTAGTAGCTGAGCATTTCACTGTTGCACCACTTGGGGGTTGACGGAAGGTTTTGCACAGTGAAACCTTTCTCTCAAGTGGCTAGGAAGATGCGTATGATGAAGCATAGTCAACGCACATAGCATCAGATGCTGGCACCACTGGATTTCAGGGAACCAGAGGGCCTTGTCATCACCTCCCACTGAGCTAGCTCTCCTTCCGCTGGTCTCCAAGTCCCCTTATTTTCTCCATTGCCTGCAATCTTTCCCACTGCCCCCCACCTTGTCTCCATTAACTTGAGAAGCTATTCATTCTGCCTTGTCTGACATGAAAGGTTGTTCTGTTCTGAGCTCTTTGGAGACCCATCAAAGGCTGAGTCTCGATGATGAGATGACGCGAGGGCTCATTGATCACCAGATGTTATTGGCCGATTAGAACACAAGAGCACACACCAGAGCCAGCTCAGTGCTGGAGGAGGGATTCGGCTACTAGGGCCTCCTTTGGACTTGGTGTGGGCTCAGGGTAACTACATTCTCCATGGTGTCCAAGCAGTGCAATTTCCTCAATGCCCAGTTGCATGCCAGGACATTCTTTGCTGGAACTTGATCAGTCCAGAAAGAACTTCTGTTCCCATTGATATTCAAAGATAGCAAGATGACTCATATTTTTCACTTCCCTTCCCTGAGCACAAATATAGCCGGCCTTATCTGTTCCTTTTCCCGTGTTTGCTATTGGTAGATGCTTAGTGGGGCGAGTAAAATCTCTGCTTTATTCTGATGCTATTTCAGGCCTGGTTAGTAAGATTCTCACCCCAATTCAGGAGAAGAATAAAGTATTTTTTAGTTTATGGGTTTTTGTTTTTTAAATAAGCAAAGATTTTGACAAATAAGAAATTGCGCGCCCCTTTCTCTTTCCATCTAGATCTTTCTGCCTTGTTTCATGACTTCTGAATTTTACATCCTTCATGGTTTGGACTGCAACTTGTACAGTTTTTATCTGGCCATCTAAATGGCTTTTCTATACTGCGATCTTATAAGTTTCAGTTCTAAACACAGAAAAGTTGAGCACACACAATCACTTACAGGTACTGAAGAGGAGGTAGGGGGGAAGGAGCTGCTTAGAGAAGCCTCCTGGTGCCTGCTTGCCTGTGTATTAGCAGTTAGTGTGGAATGTCCACATGCTTGGGGTTTTGTTTCTCCAGGAAGCACTAGTTTTATGGTTAGCAGTGTTTGCTCTCTGTTTGCCCTAAGGATTTGACTCTCAGTCCTAGATTGTTGTTAAGTGATACCCAGTCGGTTCTGACTCAGACACCCTGAGTAGCATTTCTGAGGAGCAACCAGTGAGCTTGAACCACCAAACTTGCAGCCTAGTGCAGTGAGCCACACCACACTAGGCTCCTAGCCCTAGATTGTTGTTAGGTGCTGTCGAGTCAGTACCTAATCATAGTGACCTTATGTACAGCAGAACGAAACACTGCCCGATCCTGGGCCAACCTTACTACTGTTGCCACATTTGAGTCCATCGATGCTGCCACTTGGCCAATCCATCTCGTTGGGGATCTTCTTCTTTTTCTCTGATCCTCCACCTAGATTAGCTCATTACAAAAGGCCACGTTTCCACTAGCCAAAGAGCATATGGCTTCTTCTTGCTGCTTTTTGGAGTAAGGTATTTCTCCTTCACAGAGTGGAGAGGAGAAGATGCCTCTAAGCCAGTTTGAACACATGTCACCTACCTCATGATTAGGGTCAGCTGGCGGCAGAACCTGGAGGAGTGTATCTTGAAGGCAGCAGGGACCCTTCCATTGAGAAAAAGGAACACCTTTTATTTATTGTCCCCAGACTGCTCCGTATCAGATAATATTTATACTGTGTGGTGGGCTGTCTCATAGGCTGTTATGATGAGATCGTGACTGTGGCACAGGGGGGATGGGGGTGGTGAAATGACCACAAAAATAAGAATAATAAACAAGGGGTCTTCAGAAAGTTTGTGGCAAATTAGAATGAAAGGATAATGAAATTTTTTCCACAAATTTTTTGAAGCCCCCTCATAAACCAAAGCTAACCTGGACATATTGTCAGGAGGGACCAGTCGCTGGAAAAGGATATCATGTTTGGTAAGGTGGAGGGTCAGAGAAAAAAGGAAGACCCCAGTGAGATGGATTGGCCAAGTGGCAGCATCAGTGGGCTCAAGCGTGGCAACAACTGTGAGGTTGGGCCAGGATCAGGCAGCGTTTTGTTCTGTTGTGCATAGGGTTGCTATGAGTCAGTACCAACTTGATGGCCCCTAACAACCTGTATTTGGACTCCTGATGTGGGACTGTAGGATCAGCACTGGACTGTGAACCACAACATTGGTGGTGGTTTAAACCCGCTCCTTGGAAACCCTATACAGAGGTGCTAGGAGTTGGAACTGACTCGACAGCACTTAACAACCACCACCTGTATTTAGTGTGTGTTGTGTTTTTCTTAAAACCCTATGAGATCATTCTGTAAGTACCCTTGTTTTACGGAAAAGCCACTAAACCTGGGTAACCAGTGTAATGTTCCCTGTCCCACAGGGAGGAAGTGGCAGGGATGGGGCTCATCTCTAGAAGCCAGACCCCGACCTGTACTCTAAACTCCTTGTGAGCGTGCCTCTCTGTGCCTTTGATAGGTACAGGAGAAAGGGTCAACTCAATGACACTCAACAACAAAATATACATAACACAATGTATTTCACCATTTTGAGTCCTGGTGTGGTGCTGTGGGCTAATGCATCAGACTGTAAAGTCGTTAGAGCTGCAAGGTCAGTGGTTCAAGCTCACCAGCTTCTCCTTGGAAACCCAGTACAGTGTTGCTATGGGTCAGAACTGACTCGACGGCACTTAGCAACAATAAATATAAAATTCAGTGGCACTAATTAGGGAATCCTGCTGTGGCGCTGTGGGGTAAAGCACTGGACTGCAAAATTGTTTTGAACTGTAAGGTCAGTTCAAGCTCACCAATTGCTCCTCAGAAACCCTATACAGGGTTGTCATGAGTCGGAACCAACATGACAGCACTTAACAATAACAACAAATTAGGTTCACTACATTGTATAATGATCTCCACTATTTGTTTTCAAAAGTTTCTCATTTCCCCAAACAGAAACTGACTACCCTTCAAGCTGCAACTCCCTATTGCCCGTCCCACAGCCCTTGGTGTAACCACTGAGAAAGCTTTGTGTGTGTGCACGTGCCGAATCTAGATAGTTCATAACTGTGGAATAATACCATGTTTGTTCTTTTGTGTCAGCCTTTTTTTTTTTTTTTAATTTCTTTAAGTTTCCAGTGCTCGTCAGCACAGAGTAATGCTCGTCAAACATGAGGTTAATGATTCCATTATCGGATGGCTCTATGTTGTTTATGATGATACTGGTAGTGTTTGAAGTATACGCTGCTACTTAACTGCAGAAGCTCCAATGGCTCTTTGATTGATCAGATCTAGAGTGGTAGTCCTTTGCTTTGTCTTGTATGTGGACTTGGGCAGTGAGTAAGTCCCGGACAAGGTGGAGGAGAAATGGCCTTAGGGGTCCTCGCCTTAAGGTCTGTGCTTTCTCTCTTTTCTTGCAGAAGGTGGAAGTGCCCGTGATGCTGCGGCTTCTCAGGGAGCAGAGGATGTTCATGATCCAGACTATTGCGCAGTACAAGTTTGTCTACCAGGCCCTCATCCAGTTTCTGCAGAACTCCAGACTCATTTAATCGGTGATCCAGCTCCTGGAAGCAGGACCCAGCTCCATCTCACCAATGGGCAGGCACCTCCAGACAACATCTGCTCCCCAACAGGGTGCGGATGGCTGGCAGCAGGCAGGCATGGGGCTCTCCTCACACGGGAGCCAAGATTTTTCACAAACATGGTGTATTATTTGATATGAGATAATTTATTTTTGTTTCCCTTTGGAATAATGTTGGTGATTCCGTAATGCGGTTTTCACAGTGTAGTACTTTTTCATTTGAACCACATGGCGACTGATCTGCATTGTAACACGGCAGTGGGGAGACTGTTGGGTGGGTCGTTTTGAGGAGCAAGGCAGAAGGGGACACATCTCTAGTGCAGTTGCAGCCAGATTTGTAACCAACCCTGAAATCCATCCGCTCAATTGCTCGTATCCTTATCAAATGTGGCAAGAAAGTAAATTCATCCCGAAACATAAAGGGTCAAGACCCTTTCCTCAGGAAAAACACATGAGGCTCTTATTTTTTCTTGCTTGTGGGCCTTGATGGACATTTGGCTTCCTCCCTCCTTCCTTTTGGTCCCTCACCCTCATTAGTTTGTCTTTTTTTCCCCTCCAAGCTCTAGTGTAAGACAAGAGCAGCCAGGGGAAACGTTACCTTTCAGTATAGTAATCACCACCTTCCAGGCTGCATGGGTAGCTCTGTGCTCTTTCCCAAACCATCCATTGTCCCGGGCTCTGGAGTCTACATTTGCCTGCTAGGTACTGGACCCTGGAACTTTGCTGCTTCTCCCTGTTCACTCTGTGGGCCCCAGCCTGGTGGCCTTGAGGCCCTGGGCCAGGCCATCTGTTCAGTTAGGCCTCTTGCCCTGACTGAAAGTGGATAATGGACCAGAGTGGAAAGGATTCAGGCAGAGCCTTGCTAGTTGTTCTTATGTAAATACTATGTTTGTGCTGGCCATGGGCCTGAAGGGTCCTAGAGCTTGGGTGCTTTTCTGTGTTTCAGTCATATGCTAAGTCATTGGGAAGGTTACAAAGGAAATAGTTGGGGAAGCTGACCAATGGGGGCTGTTTGGCACTTAGGTAACAGGGACTCTGGCAGGAAGCCCACACACACAGTGAGTCCCACTGTGTGTGGGTTCTTCTCTAGGACCCTCTCCAGGCTTTGGTCTGCAAAAGCATAAGGAATCCAGCCTATGCTTCTGTAATCCAAATCTTGGTCCGTTTCCTGAAAGATGAGGAAGTCTTGCTGTTTTCCTTGAAGTCCTGTACCGTTTTTTCTCCTCTCCATATGACTCCTGTCTGGTTGGTAGTTCAAACCCACCAGCTGCTTCGCAAGAGCAAAGATGAGTCTGTCTGCTTCTGTAAGGAGTCATGTTCTCAGAAGTCCCAGTGAGCAGCAGTTCTTCTCGGTTCCGTAGGTTCACGGTGAGTCTGAACCAACTCAATGGCATTGGGTTTGGGTTGACCCATCACAGTATTACTGCTACCCCAGTATGAAGCCCAGTTTGGCTTATCTCTTCCTTTTGACCTCACTGTCCCGTCTTGAGCTTTTTGGAAATTTCTTTTCTCTACTAATTTTTCTTGAACAAATTTTTAAATAACTGCTTTGTTCTTAACCTTGATCCTTCCTTCTAGGTGTTGTATTATGCTCTCCCCTACAGTTGGAAATACAAATAGCATCGCATGAGCCAGAAAGAGCATGCCATTGTGGTTTCTGTCACCACACAGCAATAGAAGGGCCGGAAAGTAGATTCTCGGGGAACTACTTTGAATATAGTCAACCCTGTTTAATCATCAGTGCAGTACCTCTCTGGCCAGGTGGATGGTGGTGGTACTGGATTTAAGAGTCCAAGTATCTGGGAAAGAGACACCTTACTCCAAGGAGTGTAATTTCAATTGAGTTGTGCAGACCCTAGAATTCTTGTGCATGTCCTCGAAAGAAAACCATTAGTGTTCTGTGCATTTTCAATGGAACAGAGTTCATAAGACTCCCTGTGAGAAGCTCAGAATTTGGATTGTCAACAGATAAAGAGGTATTTGTCTCCTTCCTTTAAGAGTTTGTTTCTGGGGTGCTCTGCTATTGGGGATGTTTTAACAAATGGTCTGCCGTTACTGGTTTATTGCCTAGTGAACAGCAGCAGCTCTCTCATGGTTTAGGCCACAATGGGCATAATGTTCAAATGTCTCATGTGGGTGGCATGGAGATCTGGTGTCTCTTTGAAGCCATCATGGACAAGCTTCCTTTAAACCTGTTCATTTTCCCACTTTGCAGGAATATGTGAATATTCAATAATGCACAAAATGTAGAGAGGAAGTAGGTTTAATACCTAATTTCCTTGCCTGCCTAAGTGAAGTTTATATTTACACCCAAAGGAACACATTTAAAAGTTAGTCCATTTTAATTTCCATTTTAAAAACAATTGCTTTGGGTTCCCTAGCACATTTTGCATTCCCTTTCACATTTCTAGCAAATGCCAACATAGTTCCTGTTAAATTAGCAGCAGCCACTTAAAGTCCTTCCTGTGGCATCTGCATAATAATTGCCCGGAGATGCTTTATATCTGGGAAGCGAGCCAAGGAATAAACCTTGAAGCAAAGTGTATTAAATTAGTTATCTAGTTAGAGCTTCTGGAATGGTTTCCTGATGATGTATCGGGTCTGAAGTTGGAGCTGTCAGCTTCTATTGCTGCAGCTCAAACTTGAAGGGAAAAAATTAAAAATGGAAGCGAGTTAAAAAAAAAAAAAAAAATCCCATCTCAACAACAAAGCCATCAGCCAGCCATACTCAGCCTCTGGATTTGGAGTGACAGAGTTGGATTATTTTGTCTCCTACAGCCTCCCATTGATCCAAAGTGTTCATTGTTGTTTACTACAGTCCTGGCTTGGATCGCTGGACCTGAGCTTGAAGTCTTCATCCTGAGGAGGAGGCTGAGATAAGACTGTTGGTGAGACGGCGCAGGTTCTGCTGAGTTTATCTACTGTACTGGGTTCTGAGGAGATAGGACCTTTTAGAAAGTGTCTCTGGTAGCATTTACTTTTATGAGTCCTGATGTGGCATGGTGAGCTAAAGCACTGGACTGAAAGGTCAGCGTGAACCGTAAGGTCAGTAGTTCAAACTCACCAGCTGTTCCTTGGAAATCCAGAACTCATAGTGTATGAGTTGGCAACTCACCCTTTGACACTTACCAGTATTTACCTTAATATATGCCTCTTTCCAGAAGAGAGAATTAGCTACTTTATTGGGGTGTGTCTGGCATTGATTTTTTTATAGGAGAGTCAGGAGAAAGGACTCCTCTATTCAATTGGAGAGAGTCCTGGTATGGCTGGCACCTTGGCCTAAAGTACTGGACTGAAAGTTTGGTTTGAACCACAAGGTCAGTAGCTCAAACTCACCAGCTGCACTTTGTCTGAACCGATTCGATGGTACAAACAACTGTTCAGTTGGAGGCAAACAATAAGATAAGGGAAGGGAAAGAAAAAAAGATGTGGGATATTTGTAGTAGTAAGCTTTTGACATTGAGAGAATTTTGCTGTTAACGTTTGTGGGCCCAAATTGAGAAGAAATTATACTTAAACCGACATTAGGTGCTGTAAGAGTTACTAAGTACTTTGGGTCCCTCCCTCCTCCACCAGCTTGTCGAGAGTGTCTTTGTGGACTCCAGTGGGCCTCAGCTATTGGCCCTCTATCCTGTCTACTCTTTGCTGTTGTGGTTCAGTTAGGTTTTTATGCAGTAGGTTTGCATGCAGCTGACCATCTTTCTTAGCGTCTTCAGCCTACTAGATAGAGGTTGTCCAATATGAAAATTCCAATATTTGACCATGTTTTATTTACAGTAAGAGAGTTCACATGGACCAAACTGTAATGTGTAGTTTCTGCCTCTCCGGGGTGTCATAAGGAGTAAGGAACCCTAGGGACAGTCTCTAAATGGAATGGAAGCTGATAGCAACGTCAGGTCAGCAGACAGGCTTTCGTCCCTACCTTTCCTATTCGTGATACCTCTGGATATCATCCCATGCCTTGCTTAGGGCCAGGGGAAGATAGCAGTGAAGGAAAGATGCACGAGCTTCTGGAAGTCTGCTGTGTTTAAGGAAGGATAGTGGGCCTTACTGGATTAATAGAAGCTGCTCAGTGGTACCTCCCTTCAAGTGGCACCCAGGGCACCTGGCATACACCCTTCTCCTATAGATAACACACCTCTGCTAACTCTTAATGTAGTCTGGATCCCAGCACCCCACTGGCCATGTCTCCAGATGAATGCTAGTGAGCTTTGGGAGCCATATGCAATGGTAGGTAGCCTGGCTCTCTGAACCAGCTGTCTTGCTCGAGACCTTGCTGTCTCACTTCTCCAGGGTTGTGGAAGTTACCCTCTGAAAAAATAGTTGGGGTGACCATAAGGCACTTCACTGTGGGGTTTTCAGCTGCCATCCCTTCTGCCAGCTCATGGTTGTGGAACATGACATATGGATTCTAATGGTGTCCTCACTCAGAAAGCAAAGACTATGCCGGTGGTAGTGGCAGTAGCCATCGAGTTGGTTCTGACTCATAGAGATCCTTTATAGTGTTTCCAAGGAATGACTTGTGAACTTGAACCGCTGACTTTGCTGTTCAAGCTGATCTTACAGTTCTGCACATTAACCCACAGCGCTACACCAGGACTTTTGATTGTCTTTATGGAGAGAACTTACTTACTCTCAAGGGATACGACTGGGTTAGGCCCTCGTTCAGTGTTGCTCTCGTTCATCCTTGGTGTTAAGTGTAATTTTATTGGGCATTTCCAGAAGCACCAAGTAAGCATTCATTGTAGGCCTCTTATGATGGGCCTTTGTAGGAATTCTGCTACCCTGTACGTTTTACCAAAGAGTTTCCTGCTGCTGTGTTTTATTGACTCTGGATTTTTTGAGACATAATTTCTCTTAATGAGCTAAGCAACAAACCGTCCAGCCCTGCTTTCAGATGTAGAAATTTGGGTTTTCCATGAATATCTATCTGACATTCTCCAGTGGCGTAGAACTTTATTGGTGCAAAGAAAACTCCCCTTTCTCCTGCAGTTGCAGGGGAGCTGGGGAGCATGCCCTCCTTTCTGTCTAGTAATGTTTGTCATTAAGACACCACCTGGGAGGATGTGAGTGATGATGTCTCCATCTTCATCCCAAACACCCCTCATAACTGTGCCAACTTGGGGATGGTTTTAAAACTGCTCT